GTTCCCAAGCGCCTCGTGGGAGTTCCTGTTCGTGTTTCTCGACAATGCGCACGTACAGTCGCACAGGGGAGTCTCTTTTTTCTGCCTCTCCTGGTGCATTTGCTGCTGCTGCTGCTTGTTTACTGCCGGGTTGCTCCTTTCTTAGGAGTTTGCGCGCATAGATAGCGGCAAGCCCTTTTGCGTCTGTCTGCAAAGTTTCAAAATTGCTCATGAAGCTCTGCAAAGCAGAGTCTGCTCCTTCGCGAGCTAGCTGACCCTGGTGTGCATACACCGCATGCCGTACCTGATGACTAATCAAACAAAGGAAACCAGGAACACTTCCCACTGCACTCTTTTCATTATGTGAGACCCTGCGGCCAGCCTCCCTATTAGCAGGGACCTTCACATGGCGATGGGACCACCTGCATTCAGCAGCAACTGCTGCAACAGTGTGTATAGTGCACGCAAGGGCCGCTGCGGCCTTGTCTGAATAGAGCACATCGGATGCCACCACCAAGTTAACACAGGGCCGCATCCCTGCAGTTGTGTCCTGTCGGTGCTGTCGCTGCTGGTGCAACTGCAGCAGTTGCTGCCGCACCTCCGAGGCGTCTTCGCTCCATTTGAGGGGACCTGCAGTGGCTTGAGGGGAATCTCCTAGCTCACATAGAATGTCTGACACAGAAAGCATGCCTTCATGCTGCCCCTGATTTTGTTGCTGCTGTTGCTGCTTCTTTTTGCGTATCCGTTCCAAAAGTCGCACAGCAGCTGCCGCCAAAACCTCTGCTGCTCCGCCAGAAGCACTTGCACTGGTCGAAATAGGGACTATGAATGAGTGCAGTGCAGCTGAAAGCGACAAGTTACACCTGGTCAGAGACAAAGCAGCAGAATCGCAGTCAGTTGGAAGGACCCATGGTGCTCCCAGCACACAGCAGAGGCTGCTAGGCGCCCCCAAGCCGCAGCCGAGTTCTAGCACCTGCCTCTGCTGCAGCTGAAGAGCCTCCTGATGCTGCAGTAAATAGTGCAGCAGCAAGCCACAAGCAGGGCCCCACAAATCACTTGCTGTCGTATCCGCGCATGCATCCAACTGCACCGAAAGGTACACTGGTGGCTCCCCTGACTGTCTTCGAGGGATGGGGTTTTCCAGGGAGGCGCCCGGGACTCTGCGCAACAGGGGCAGCAAAAGCAGCCTCTCCTGCGTCTCGCTAGTTGCTGCCGCTGTTGCTGCTGGTTCAGCTGCCAGTGCTGCTGCTGGTTGCCAGGAAGGAACCAGGGTCCCGTCAGCCCCCACTGGCCGAACCCTGATAGCCTTGCTCCGCAGCAGCTCCAGCACGGATAATTCTACCTGCATGCTACAGAGCCAACCCTTGCAACAGTAGCCGCTGGAGGATCAAACGCTGCTCCTGCAGCGGTTGCTGCTGCGTCTGCGCTGCAACCGGGAGCACGAAGGAGTCGCAGAACCTTCGATATCCATTAGGTTACCTTAAAAGGCATATATTTGCATGCTAGAGTTGCAGCCGAAGGCCTCTTCTTCCATAACATGTCATGGGGGCCCCTGCAGGAAGCCCCGAACAACCCGCCTCCAGGGGCCCTAAAGGGGCCCCCAGTGAGCTGCTGCTAGAATTCCCTACCGTTTCCTTTTTCATTTTCCCAAATATGTCACCGTTGAGGTATCATTTCAACCCCGACAACGTTTGGGCCCTCCGCTTGAACTCTGCAGCAACGAATTGGATGTGCTGCCGACCTTCGTTCTGTTGTTGTTACTCGCGCTGTTGCTGTGCTGGCTGCTGCTGCTGTGATCCTAAGCTGTGCTGACGTTAATCGGTAACGGAAGGGCCTGAAGGCCATTGGTGCCGCTGCCGCCGCTGGTTAACAGCAGCGACCGCGGAAGTTGGGAGCTACAACAGCACGAGCAACAGGAAGATGTCCGTTACGCTTAAAACAAACCTCGGCGATTTGAAGGTAGAGCTCTTCTGCCAGCAAACGCCGCGAACCTGCAAGGTGAGTATCTTTTGCTGCTGCGCTTTTCGCTGCTGTTCGGGCTCCAGTTGCTGCTAGGTAAATATGTGCTCTTGCGCTGTCTGCATAACTATTGCGCTAACCGCTGCTTCTCTTAGCCGTCCCTTCCTTGCGTGCACGTGCTGTCGCAGCTGCTACTACACGCACCATTGTGTTGGAGCTGCTGTTGCGTACATTACGGTTGCATCCATGCACTCCCCTTTTTGGTGCTGCTGCGGTTGCTACTGTTGCCGGTATTTCTGCTATGCGCAGAATTTTTTGGCTCTCTGCGCTTCGAACTCGTACGATGGCTGTATTGTGACGAGGTAGGTTGAGGTGCTCTATGTCTTCGTCGTTTTCTGACGCCAGCTGACTGCATGTTGTCCTGTCCATTTGTGTTGGCCTACCCCCACCTTTTTTCCCGCGTCTACCCGTTTCTCCATGTATTTGGAAGATTGGAACACGAAAGAAGTAGTGGCAGGAGAGAGAGCGATGAGACGCCGCCCAGAGAAAGAAGGCACAGACACAAAGCAGCCCCGATTTTTGTTTCTCTTTTCCTCTCGCTTTTTGTCTGTATCTTTTACTGTCTTCACGCTGCGTGCGATTCTGTTTATGCGTTTGGCTCTTTCAGTCTTTCTCATTTTTTCTGTGGTTACGCATTATACTCCTTTTTCGTAGTTGTTTGTGTGGCTTTTGTCATTCCTTCTTTTGCTGGTCGTTGCACCCATTTATTCCTAATGAGCTTTGGTTTCTTTAATGTGAGGCAGCCCTGCAGTTTGTGCACCTTCTTCACTCTTCTGCTTCGCTGCATTGCAGAAATATAAAGGGGTTTGCAGTGCAAATGGGCGACCCTACAAACACTGGCAAAGGCGGCCAGTCAATCTACGGTGGCTTCTTTGAAGACGAGTTTGTTGCCACTTTAAAAGTAAGCAGACAACTGGCTAGCTAATGCACTGATCATAGAACAGTTTATTCACTTCTGCATGCCTTTGACTAGCCAGCTTATCGGTAAATACAATTCGTTTGTAAAAGTGCAGATACGCAGACACTGCATAGTGATACTGGCTGTCAGAGTTTCCAAGCTAAAGTTGAGCTGGCTCGAAGCGAAGTTACGTGCAGTATTGTTTTTTATTTCCCCCTCTCACTTGTTTTGCTTCTCCTTGTTTCCATTCGTTGTCCCTTGCTTAACTCAAGTCCCAACTTACGGGTCAGCCTGGCTCCGTAGCTGGCGTTGCTTTTGTCACCATTGTCCCCATGCATTTGCCACTTTTCCTCTCCGTGCTGTTTTCCTTTCGATTGGCTGTCACTGTCGGTCTGCCTGTGCGCGTTGGTGTCTCTCTGTTTCTTTGTTACCTTCTCTGTGTGTCTCTCGGTGCCTTTGCTTTTGTCTTTCTCGCTCTTACTTCCCGACCATACTACGTGCAGGTCGTGTGTCTGCACACCGCTGCCTAGTCACTGGCCATATATACTATATGCAAGAGTCATTGTGCCACTCCATTTATGGTTGTTTCTGCAGCACGACCGCCGGGGCGTTTTGTCCATGGCAAACCAGGGGGCTCCCAACACGAATGGCTCTCAGTTCTTCATTACTTATTCTCGTCAGCCCCACTTAAACGGGGTATATACTGTCTTTGGCCGTTTGATTGACGGATTAGACACTTTAGACAAAATAGAAAAGGTGCCCACGGGCAAGAAAAACAGGCCCTTAAGTGAAATCAAAATTCTCAGCACCCAAATACACGCCAATCCCATTGCTGAACAAGAGCAACTGTGAGCGAGCAGACTGTTCTTGCATCGATATTCACCTTCACTCTACATACATACTCTACGATATATTGTCGCATGCAGACTTGAAGGAGTTGTTTTTCTCTTTTTGTGCCTATGGTTGTAGTCAGGCGGGTGATGATGCCTGTGATGTTTGGGGCGGTGCAGCTACAAGTACATGGATATTCTCTTGTTCAGAGCTGTGTAGTGTAGGCTGATTTACTAGACACAAGTGTATCCAAAAATACAGACAAAAAGTAAATGCAATAACAAGCGCGAGTGCATCTAACGTCTCCACATGAGTGACTGCTCAACGAATTCAAGTATGTGTGCATTAATGTACACGTATCGCACATGTTCTACTAGTCCACAGGTATTGAGCTGTGCTCTTTAAGGGACGTACGATTATCTGTGTTGGTGGATATTCTTGCCTTACGATTGCTAAGGTAAGTGTCTATTCAACAGCGACTAATATTCTGTCCACGCATGCAGGAATGCAGGCATGCATGCACAGTACACCGTTTGTTGGCGTCCCACATATTGCAATGAGTGTAGACGTGCGTACCTGTGTGTGCATGTGTACTTTTGTGTACCTTCGTTTATTAATATTTGGAAAGAGCAGCATAATCACAACTATCTTTGGCATTCTAAAATCAATTTTTAAGAGGAGGAGAGAGAACTAACGAGGCACATGGAACACAGAGAAGGTAAACAGAAAAGAACAGCGAAAATGAAATAGCAGAGAGGCACGAGTAAAAAAAAAGGGCAGAGACGAACCAGAAGCACAAGCAGGGTTAGAGGGAGACAGAAAGAAACAGGAAAAGGAGACATTCGTATGCTAAAACAGAGAACCAAAAAGCAGGTGGAGAGACTTGATGGAGGCAAGAACAGAGAAACACCAAAATATGGGGAATCACGAACAGTAGTAGATGCACTGGATCGGCAGTAAAATGCAAAGAGATACTGTACTGGCAGAACTAAACCTTGAGCAATATTGCTGGCAGAACTAAACCTTGAGCAGTATTGCTGGACTCTCAATCCTACATTCTAGTTTCTACAATGTTGCCATTGGGTTTTTTACTTAAAGCGGAGGGACTCCAACAAGATCGGGGACGCTTGCTTGTTTACGGCCCGAACCCTACTAGGAGCTCCCTTGGTCGCTATGCGTACTAAGTAATGCCTTAATGGGCACTGACACCTCACAAAACTGGGTTGAGATGGATAGGAAGGCTGTTATGGGGACGGGAAGCCCGCTGAGGACCTCACAAAGCACGGGTGTCTCCAGCCGCAGCTGACATCGCCAATCGAGACCAACAGCCACCTGCAACAACAGCGGCGGCAGCAACAGCCGCAGCAGCAGAAGCAGAAGCAGAACCAGAAATAGCAAGGCCTTCACTTTTTAGTTGCAGCGCATTCCTTACACTGGCACAGGATCCAGCAGCTGTTCCGCCCGCTGAAGCGGCAGTCAAAAGCAGCAGTAGCAGCGCTCTCTTACCTGACCTGGCGTCGCGTTAATTACTTTGACTATGACCCCTGGAGGCCCCTGTAGGTCCTTTATCTTTGCGCAGACTCTGCTGCTGTGCGTCCCCAGCAATTTAGCTGAGACGTGGCGGAAGTAAACTGACTCCAGAGAGATGATGCCGAAGTCAACTGCCCGGGGGGACACCTCAAGGGATCCTTGGTGGAGCCCCTCTGGGTCAGTTAGTTTAGGGTCAGCCTGTAGTAACAGTCGAACCAGTGGCGTGTGGCTCGCTCACTTGCTGAATAGTTTTTAAGGCTAATGTAGCGGCTGCCACGGTTGTTGGTGCTGCGGCAGGATGCGAAGACCACAGCTGCAACTGCTGCGGAAGTAAGCAGCAGCAATACCACAAACTGTGCAGCTGTAGCATCCTTGGGGACTGCTTGGAGACAGCAGCGACGGGATTTTCACTAACAGCGGCAATACCTTTACCAACAACAAGTGCAGTTGACGCTGTAACACGGACACCAACGACAGCAACGAAAGCAACGGCAGCGAAAGCAGCAGCATTTCCCTATTTGTCCGTTCCAACTTTTACATTTCCTGTCAGTCGTTTCGGGGAGCTGTAGGCAGAGGTAACTTGCCGAACTGCGGAACTCTTTAAGGCCTGCTTCTTCTGCTGTGGCTGCTGTTGCTGCTGCTGCTGCTGCTGCTGCTGCTGCTGCCGGTAGTTTGTCAGCTCTTGAGGGGGTTCAAAGCGTGCTTGCCGATCAGGACAGTAACTCAAATGACCCAAAGGGTGCCACCTGTCTTCTTGTAGAGAAGGAACCATCAGGGAACCTGAGATTTCCCAGCAACGGCCAAGCCTTAGGCTTTCATATTCATAGGCTTTAAAACTAACGTGCCCGGGCATATTTGATGACTAACGGTTTAGGATTTACTCCTTAAAGCGGAGACCTGAGGAGTTCAGTTTTGTATGGCGCACGTTCTCGTGGGAGAACCTCTATGAGTGTCTGAGACACTGCTGCATTCAGGGCATATCCAAGGGCAGCAGCACTCGTTGCTGCTGCTGCGGTTGTGTGCTTGCCCCCTAGCTCAGACGCAGGGATCCCTTCCTCTCCGATCCTTATGTCTTCTTCTTTTAATGAGGCAACGACTTTTCCTGCAGCTGTCTCCTTTGATACAGCCACTGCCGCCGCTACAGCCGCAGCATCTTCCGCACCAGCTGCTGCTCGCCTTGCACAGGCAGCTCTCATCGTAGCGGCCGCCAAGGCATTAGCGCACCCAGAATGTTTATTTTGTAACTCTTTTCCATCCAGGTGGTGCATTTCCTGCTGCTGCTGCTGTTGTTCTGGCTCCCTTTGCCGCTGCATCATTGGAATGGTAAAGGGATCCATAGTCTCAAGACGCCCCTCCCTGAAGAAGCATACAAAAGTGACACGGGACTTTTCTCGAGCTCTCATTGAATTTGCTTCAGTCACCGAGTTCACACTGCTGCACTTTCCTCCTGCATATGGTGCCTATGAGATGTATGGCGGGTCTACGATTTAGGGCGCAGGGTTTAACATGTTGAAAAGAGCTCAGGTAGGTGTAGCACGGGGAAGCGACAAAATGAGTGCTGATGGCCTTACGCTACGTATACCTGTAGCAGCATTCTCAAAAGCACTAGATGCTGCGGCAAAGCTCTTAGAGGCAACAACGGCCTCATTCGTTTCTCTCTTTTCATAAAGGTTTTTCCTTTCCATGCAGTGCAGCAAATAAACGGAAGTATAGCTGTGTGTTGTTTCTGCTGCTGCTACTGCTGTTGGACCCGAATACGCGGTTCCAGCGCTGGCACGCGAGTGAGTTGCTACCCTTTTCGTCTGTCTTCTTTTTTTACATCTGTCTCATTGAGTAACTCATGACTGCGTTGCTTGACCTTTTCCCTAAGTGTATGTCTTTAACGCTGGCCCCATTTCTTCTCCCGATTTTGTCTCGTTTTTTTCTTCCTCTGCGTCTGTCTATTGACTTCTTCATCGGCAAGCCACTGCACGTATCTGTATGTCTATTTACCAATCTATCCATATACGTTTCTATGCCTTATATGTTTACATTTACCTGACTCTGAATGAACGTGTTGGTGTATCTACTTGCCTTTCTACTGGGTTGTCTGTCCAGTCGCAAATTTCTGTCTGTTTGTCCAAGTGGATCTGCTGTATCCCTTGCTGCGCTTTTTTCCCCAGCCTTTACATTCCTCTGCCTTTTAACTTACTTCTTCCAGTGTTATATTTTTCTTTTTCGTGTGTTATTTTTCTACCATCAACATATGCAAGAACCAGCATTAGCAAGAATACTGACAACAGAGGCTCTTGCAGCACCAACACTCGCACCAGCACTGCCAACAACCTCAACAGCATTCTCAGCAGTCACAGCAACAGAGCAGCACCGAAAATTGCAAAAGATGTCGAACCTTTGCATTTTAGCAATAAGATTACTTCTGTAAGTCAGCGCACTGAGTTCGGGTTGCAGTCGACCCGGCAAAGGCGCGAGAGATCCACGCGAGGCAACAGAAGCCCGAGCTCCGTAGACACCCCCACCTGACCACCAGCACCAGCATCAGCAACAACAGCAGCAGCAGCATAGACACGAACAATTTCATCGGGGAGCAGAGATGTCGGGCTTCTTCTTATGGCTCGTAACCAGACGTATCTTTTGTCTCCTTTAAGCTATGCCGTCCATTTAGCTACAATGCGTCCGAATTTGAATGCTGAGTTACAAAGATGTATTCGAGGGAAAAAGACTAGTTGTAGATAAAGCCAGTGCCAGAAACGCAAAAGAGGTTTCCGGGCTTCTTTGGGTCCCCAGAGGCACTTTACCTAAAGCGCCTTAGCCGATGGATGGATACGGCAGCTGCTGCTTGCGCTTCTGCTGCATATGCTGCAGCTGTCTATGCAGCTGTTACTGAGTTACGGCTTTTTCTGAAACACTGTTGTTGTGGGGAGTTCTTTCCCAGTTTTTGGCGCAGCTCTCGCAGTTTCTGTTGTTGCTGTTACTTCGGGAGTGATTGTGTGCGTGTCATTCTCGTGAATAGGCTGTTTACGCACCTTCTGTTTGCCTCCTTCTCTCTCCCGTTGCCTGTATATGCTGCACGCAGTTTCCCGTCGATGATTCCCAGCTCACGTAGGCCCCGTAGGAGCGCTCTACTCGCTTCATCTCTTGGGGACTCGCACGCGGGTGCACCCGGAAGTGTCTGCACAAAAAGCCCTAAGCCGCGCAAGCTGTATCCTGAGCCCCAAGCCATTCATCATGAATTCCAGATGCCAAATGCAGCACAATGGATATCATGGTTCCTGACAAGAGCGGACAGGCAGTCTAGTCAGCGGCCCCGATCGGACTTTTGTTCACGGGTGCATTACGAGGCTTGTACGGCTTCACACCTAAAGAGGTCTGCACTGAAGTTTGTTCGCCAACCAAAGTACGGGATGGTAACCCGCAGATGCCAATTTCAGCTGCTCCACCGTAAACTATTGAGGCTGAACTCCAGCACTTTCTAGCGTGCCATGAGGTACCTGGTGAATGTGACAGGTTGCAGTTCTTCTGCTGCAGCCGTGCCGTCGCAGTTGTTTGTTTTGAACCGCTGCCACAAAGGTAGGGAGTCCTCCTCCTTCAACAACAGAAGGAAGCACAGAAAAAAAACTGATGCGGCGGCAAAAGGACTCGCCACAAAAGTAGCAGCACTAACTGCAGCAGTAGCGGGAGCTCCACTTGCTGCTGTTCCAGGGAAAGGCCATCAGAACGCAAAGGCGAAGCAAACAACTCAAAAATTGGTGAATGGACACAAAGATACAGAGACGCAGGACTGTAGCAGCGACATCAGCAACGTAGCGACTTACGAAAGAAAAATGTCACGCCAGCACAAACCAAAGGAATCATTAGCAACACGATCCGGAGCTCAGCAGTGGCAGCGACACATGGCCATTTACAAAAGTAGCAACTGCAGCTTGTGTAGTGCTATATGTAGCAGTATGTGTAACACTTCTTGCGGGAGCACGTCCAGCAGCAGCAGTTACCAGCGGTTGCGGGAATGGTGTGACTCTGTAGGAGCTCTTGTCGCGTTTTGGCTTGATATGCACAAGTTCGAATTCAGTTATGCCATCAAATTCACAAGGACCTTCCCAGTACATTCCACTGTCATTTTCTGTTTCAGCTTTCAAGCTCTCAAAATCTCTGCGGTAGCAACAGCAGGTGCGGCAACGAAAGCAGCAGGGTCAGTAAGAAGAGCAATAGTCTCAGCAGCAGAAAATGCAACAGCAGACGCTTTACTTAGTGTAGAAGCAGCAGCAGGAGCACCAGCATGGAAGAATTATGAAATCTTTGTGGGAGAGCGGGATATAGTTGCAGCGCATAGGACAATAGATGGATTCACGTGAGAAACATTAAATACTGTAAAACCAAACTCAATAGGCATTAAACGAAGATCGTAGACGCATCAAATAAACAGACGTGCGCAAAAACTTCAGTTACGCGAAACAAACCGAAGCGATTCAAAGCAAAAACTATTTGCACAGAAAGGTAGAGCAGGAGGGATGGAACAATATTTGGGGATGGCAAGGATAAACAGGCGAGGAAGTGCAAAAATGGGAGCAGGTGAGGGCTACCGAAGAAACATAAACGGGAAAAACGAGACAGACTGTACTGTGAGAAGCTCCTCTGCGTTTCCTGACGCTCCACAAACAGCAAATAAACGAGGAGGCCACACGATCGCTGCTCCTGGCGGTGGTTCTCTTGCTGGAGTTCCAGCTGCTGCTGCTGTTGCTGACTGTCTTGCCACCTTTGCTGCGGCGGCGTCACCAGATTCGAGAGTAGTTTCACTTGCGTCTAAAGCCTCTCCTTCTCCTCCATGAAGCACTCCATCTGGCCTAAAGCAGCAGGAACCGCAGCAACAGCAGCAGCACCAACAGTCATAATTGCAACATCAGCAGCAGCAACAAAATCACCAAAAACAACAGCAATAGCGCCAGAGGCACCAACATTTTTTCACACTTCATGCAACGCCAAGAGTATCAATGAGAGCAGAAGGGGCAGAACTAGCAACAGCGAAAGCGATAGATGCAATAAAAGCACTAGGAGCAGCAGCAGCAATAGAAGTAACGGCATTCGCGGCGGCGATTGAAACTTTGAGAAATTGGGCAGCAACAAAAGAACAGCAGGGTACGGTCACTGGTTTTATGTTCAGGAGATCTTTGACAGCTGCCGAACATCGGCAACTAAAGCAACAGTCGCAGAGCTAACGCATGAAGTCCCTCGGAGTAGATGTACTTGAATACCGGTCCAAACGATTACAGATGCAGCAACAGATGCAATAGCGGCAGCAGCGGCAAGATCAGCAACAGCAGCAGCAGCAAGAGGGGCAGCAATGTTCCATGCCCCTACCCCACGCGGCAGACTTCCTCTCCCCCGCGTAAGCCAAACGTTTCTCCAGTAGGAAGAGAAAATACCACGGACACGGCGTCGTCTACAGCAGAAGCAGCAACAGCAGCAGTAGCAGCATGAGCAACAGTAGAACAGGCAGCGGCAAAGGGCGCAAGCTAGCTAACAAGGCCAGATAAAGAACTGCGTTCTCCGTTGACAGCAACAGCGGCAACGGAGTTGGCAACAGTAGCAGCAAATATGGCACTATACAAAGCAGCAGGCTGCAGTGTCAGCAATGAAAAACAAGTTGGTGGACCTTCAATGTGTGTCGAAGGCGGAGGCTGCACAGTGACCTGCGACAGCAAACAGAGCACCACTACTTGCCCCCTTTATATGCCGCAGTAACAGTAACAAGCCATGTGGCAACGCAAGCTTGTCCAGCACCAGAAGCAACGACAGCAGTACACGCGGCAGCGCACATTTGCGAAGGGATCAACCGTGAAGTCGGCTCCTCCCTTTTGTTGGATTTTGATGACAACAGCTCCTTTGCCATTCCTTCTGAAAAATACGGCATGAAATAAAATACTATAATAATATGCATCCTCGTGTACAGCTTGCAGTGTAAGCAGTATGTGCGGAGAGGCTTGCTGAGCCCGTGGCTCCTGGCAGCAGGAATAGCAGTTTCTTCTGCAGATCCTGCTGTTGTGGCAGCTACTACCGCACACACGTGGTTCCTTGAGAGGATCTGCAGAAGGGAGGCACGGTAGAAATGACAGAAGCGGAAACAGGGCAGCAAATCACCTAATGAGAAGCTTGACGCTGCTTCCAAGAGTTGCCTCAGCAGCGAAGGCCCCGTCAATTTCGTCGTTTGCAGAGAGGTTTGCTGTGCTCCTGGCCGCAGAAGCACTAGTTTCTGCAGCAATTTCTGCTGTTGCGGCAGCTGATACTCTCCTGTATGCCCGTGCGTTCTGCGCAACGGAAGCATCTGCTGCTTCCGGTTGGAATGTTTCTGATGCTGCTTGCGTTGCTGCTGTTCCGCCAGCAGCTGGTGCAGCAAGTGTTGATGGAGAATCTTGCTTCATAACGACGCAAAGCCTTGTTTTGTCGGGGTGCTCCACTGCGAGCTTCGAACTGCCATCGTGCTGCTCGCTCTTAATTTGAGTTCCATCAGGAAATAGAACCGTCTTTTCCTGTAACAATAGCAGCACCAAAAACAACAGCAATGACACAGATGGCAGTCAGTCGTGTAGCTGAAATATATGCGACCGCCAACAATCAATTCGTGAACGCGCAAATGCTCTCAGAGCAGCAGCAGTAGCAGCAGTGCAGGTTTCTCTAGAATAAGTAGAGAGTCAAGGTGAGAATTTCATGTTGTAGTACATAAAGCTTATGCGTTGAAGAGTAAGCCTGGGAACCTAAGCTGCTTCTTAGTGCTACCAGGCAGCTGCTAGTGTACTGTTGGTGCTGCTGCCCTACATGTGTCTGTGTCTGCGTTCGCATTGGCATTTTCGTTTTGCTGTTGAAAACAGAAGTGACGGTTTGCACTTGAGAAGAAGCAAAAGAGAAGAGGAGGCCTCTGCTTCCCTCCACTGTGGCAGCAAATGAACTCGGAGATAAATCATACTGCCTCCATTCCCTTGGTGGTGCTACTTGTGCTGCTGCTGTTGCTCCTGGTGCTGATGCCGTCGCTCCTGGTGCTGCTATTGGTGTTGGTGCTGCTGCTGGTGAAAATTGATTTTCGGCATTGGAATTCACAAGAGATAGAAGGTCACTGAGACCCTCTATGGCCCCCACCTCAAACAAGTCTGAGCCTCCACCTACACACAGAAAATATGAACAACAACGGTGGCAATGGTGTTGGCGAAAAGCACAGCAAGCAGGGCGCAACAGTAGCTGCACGGACAGTAGCAGGTTCTTTTATTTAAATGGCTGCAGCCTATGGCTGCTTTATCCACCTCCGGCAGAAAGCAGGAGCGACACGCTCTGTTGAAGCAGCAGCAACAGCAGAGTGGTAGTGGAAGCAGTAGCAGTAACAACACGGAAGCATCATCAACAAACAGAAATATGAAGGGCGAGAGAAGACTAAAAATTTCCCTGGAGTAGCTGATGACAGACAAAGCACAAATAACTGTGTCTCTGTAGTGCACCTGCGTTTTGTCTAGTTCAGCTTCGATTACATTCTGATTTCACATAAGAAAGCTTCACTACTTTCGTTGGATGTACCACTGCTTTTGGTTTGATTGTCGATATAATACAATTCAGTTTGTCGCGTGTGCCATCTCACAGGAATTTATTCGAAACCTCCCGAATCTCCTGCCGTCTGATGTGCACGTCAGCCAGTGGCCTGGCAAGCCCTGGTCGTCTCTGCCTATTTATTGTATAAACAGAAAGGGTAGAAAATCGCCAAAAGTTTCCTCTATCTACGTGGCAACTTATGCATTGTCGAAGTGGAATAATTTGAGTTTGCGTGATATTTTGCCCAAATAACGTTGACGGCTTCCTTTTTATGAGCGAAAAGGGTAGCGCCTGCATATCTATAGTGGAAATGGAAAGAATGATGCCACTCCTGCTGCAGCTCATGTTGCTGTAACTGTTGCTTGTGTGATCAGTGCACCTAATCGAGTGGCGTCTTTCTTGGTACCACTGCCTCACTGCTGCTACTATGGCTGAAACTGCCCCTCGAGCCATTACGAACAACAGTAATTCTGTTGTCGCCAACTTTGCTCGAGATACGCTATCTTCCCCTACTGTTGGTGCTCAAACTGCTAGTTGTGTCATCACTGCTAGAGCTACTGCTACTGCCGCAGCTTCTTGGTGCTGTCGCTACCATTGCTGGTGTTGCTAATGCCGCCGTGTTTCTTCTTGCCGCTGCTTCTTTGTTGCTCTCACCAGTGTTGAAGGGGTCGCTGAGTACATGTGCAGGAAGCTTCAGCGGCTCCTGTGCTGCTCGTGGAGGCAATGTTTCGTAGAGAGAATGCAAATTCAGAAGAAAAGGAGGAATAAAACCCAAACTGCAGCGAGCGGCAAACTCAGAGTGAAGGGGCACGCGGGACACGAAATCCCCGTTCTGCAGCAAAAGCAGAGATCGAACCGAGAGGACAAAAGACCATTAAAAGAGAGACATGACGACAGCAGCGGGCAACGAAAGAGCAAGAGGAGCAGTATCAACTCCAGGAGCGTCAGAAGTAGCAGTTGCAACAGCTAGTGAGCCGTGACTTACTGGCAGCATTACCTCTACCCTCCCTGACAGAGTTTGACGAACAACAGCGCCGCATGGCAGCAGTCGCCGCTGCAGCTCCAAATCCTCAGGGCAGCCAAACCAGAGCCGACCACGACCTAGCCTGAGGCTTGGACAAGGACCGCATTCTGCCGCTAATTCTGCTGCGGCTGCCGCTGCTGTTAGTGCAGTAGTCGCTGTACTTGGTGTGGGAACACCTGCTGATGCCGCAGCCGCTGCTATTGCAGCTGAGCATGCGTTTGTTGCTGCGCCCACAGCAACAGCGGCAGCGCCTGCTGCTGCTGCTACGGAGCTCAACCCTGTTGCAGCGGCTGCTGCTCTTGCTGCTGCAACTGTTTCTGTGTGCTGCTGCACGGCAGCTTCTGCGGAGGGAAACGAGGCAGAGATTTGACGAGACAAAAAGTGCGGATTTCGTTCCCACAAAGAGCCGTCAGACGAAATCTGTAGCAAGCGACCTGAGCAGAAGCAGCAGAAGCAGCAGAAAAAATATGGAAAATGTATCTTTTGCTGCTCCCACAGAAGAGGAAGCAAAACCGAGGGCTGCAGTGACAGGATAAACAGTGGCAAGGGGAGTGGCAGCGACAAGCGTTGAGAAAACAGCAGACGAAGGGGGAGAAAGCTACTGTGGTATGAAGGGAAAGGGAAGCAGCAGCACCATCAGCAGCTCACCAGAAGGGCTGGATATTTCTACAATAACTTCTAAAGGAATATATGATTTTCTCCCTCTTTCTTGAGGCCTTACGTTTTCGTGTACTTGCTGCTGCTTTTCTAGAAGTTGCTGCTCTGGTTGCTGCTGCTGTTGCTGTGTCTGTTGTTGCTGCTTCTCCTTTTCCTCCTCTTGTTCTTTCTTTATCTGCTCATGACTTGCGTCGCTCGCTTTTGCTGAAGTATTTTGTTCTTGCTGCTGGTGCAGCCGCAAGAGAGAAGAAACGGAAAGCCTAACGACGAGTCGGTGGCCTCCCGTTAGCGCTGCTGAGAAAAGATAAAATTTCCCCTGCAGATTCTGCTCAACACCAGCGACGAATTCCCTAGCCCTATCTAAAGTCTCTAAAGATGGCATTGAACGCGCCTCGTCCGATTCCTGCTGCTGCCGCTGCTTCTGGCAAATGGCAGATATGGCAGTCGTCCAGTTGGTGCAACTGTCGAGAAGACACGCGTCCTTTTTCAAGGAGCAGCAAGCGCCCGGCAGCAGGACTCGGAATTCCCTCCACTCTTTAGTCGGGACTGGACGCGCTGCGGCTTCTGCTGCTGCTGCTGCTGCCTCAGCCTCAGCAGCCGCCGCAGCAGCAGCTGCAGGGCCCCTTCCTGCAGTAGCAAGCGATTCGTGCTCTGTTCGTATATCTTTCCTGTCGTCGCACCATGCTGTTCGTCAAGAACAAGGGCTCAAAATATCTATTGAAGTTTTTAACATGTGAGTCGCTCACTGAATACAAGCTTGGGCAGGGGCCTGCTCGGTTGCGTGTCGGCCTCAGCAGCAAATGAGACGCACTGGGGTCCCACAGCAGCGCCAACAGCATATTTTGCAGAAACAAATGTGACTGCGGGGCTCAAGTGTACGTACATCTCATCGCTGCGGGGGCCCCCATGCCTTTCTGGGGGCAAATCGACGAGGCAGCAGAGACCTTCGGGTGCCTCTTCTGCCTTCAAAAAACGCCGCCACTCCCTAAATCCTTGTAACGGGAATGTGCATGTGCTTTGCCAAGAGTCACTCCAGGTGCTGCAGCCTTTTTTGGTGCTAGTGGCTGTTCTGGGGCTGCAAGAGTTAGCTGTGACGGTTGTGATCGGACTGCCAGAGGTGGCGGTGGTGGTAGTGTTGGCAAGAGGTTGGGGAAGGCTGGACGCGTTTTGTCTGCAGCAGCAAAGACTTGAGATGTGCCGACCGCGTGCATATATTTGAATCTCCACAGCCAAGCATATTTGCTGCTGCGCAAATATGCTACTCCTTACATGTGTTCTTGTGTGTGTACATATCTGCATGTAAATGCTTACGCCTCTATCTATTCATGTGTCACATGTATGTAAGTGTACTCACATGTACGTATGTATATATACGTATTTATTCAAGTATATATAAACAGGAGTATTCGTACGAATATACGGATACGCACGTTAATAGGTATTTAGGTTATAGAAAAATGCAAGTATAGAAGCTGACAGTGAGTTGAACTCTATGCATGGTCTGCTCATTTTTTCGTACCGGTGAAACACAGCCAGTAGCAGGTGACCAGTCCTCTTGTTGACTGTACCCTCAAGGGTATACTTTCGGGATCGTAAAACATATCCCAGGAAATGCGCAAAACGATCTCGTGGGATCGTCTCTCGCACGCACCAGCAGCTAGCCAGGCAACCCACTTGAGTACCCCCACCTACAGCAGCCAGCAGATTCTCGAAAGTGAGCAGCTGAAGCAAATGCTCCACTTGAGCCTCACACAGATCCGAAAAAAAGGAATACGCGCGGCACTGCAGCGCCAACCTGCAGCATGCAGCATGGCAGCAGCAGCGGTGGAAAATAAGGAAGCAACCGCAGATCGAGCAACAGCAGTATATATAAGATGTTCTTCAACCATTCCAAATGCAACCGCAGTAAAAACTGGGGCTACAGAAATATAAGTGCAAGCAGCACCCGTAGCATAAGCGACAGCAGCAGCCGCATTAGCATGGGCAACAGCTGCAGCACCAGCTGGAGAAAAGCAGCAGCACCACGCGCTTAATTACCAGCTGCAGCGATTGCAGGTGTTAGAAAAGGTTTAGTAGCAGGTGCGGCAGCTGCAACGTCAACAGAGGCAAATATGGCATGGCCGAAGAAAAAGCAAAAGACGGGAGGGAGTTGGGCATATGTTCACTTACTGCCGCAAAGGCGCTCTCGTATAGAGTTTTAGTTGCTGCAAATAGGCAGTGGGAATAGACGCTTCAATTGACTCTATTTTAGCTGCTGCGGCCTCAAGGCTATTTGGCTCTGTTCCGCAATCGATGCCACAGCCAGAAATCTCTTGCTGTGCTTCCTGCTCTTGGGACGCATCCTGCTGTAGTTGTTCTTGCTGCTGTGGCTGCTGCTGCTGTATGTTCTGCCCTTCCTGCTGCTGAAGCTGCTGCTGCGCCTCCTCTTTCCCACTCTTCTCAGGAAGCGAAGCTGCGGCTAATTCTCGGCGCCTGCAAAAGGCTAATACAGTAGTGCCGCAGTGGCGATTTAGACTACAGCAGCAGATGAAACGGGGAGAAACGTTCCAGCACCAAATACAGCGAGGAAAGAATCAGCAGCGTCATTTGCTGCAGAGAATGCAGCAGCGGCAACACAAACAGCTGCAGCAGTACCGTTGGCAGCTGCAACACCTCAGCACGAAGAGCTGCTGGTCTCTGCGTGGTGGTAGGGAGTACCTGGCTGCTGCATTTGCGGCTGCCTGCTGTAGCAAACAGTGCAGAAGTAGAGCCACAGATGTTTCCTCATAGGCTACAGAATTTGCCAGGGACGTGTATAGCCTGAACGGAGCAGCAGTGTCACTCAGCGCTCCTTCCGTGAGGCAAAGGAAGCAACGGGAAATAGCTCAAAGAAAAGCTCCAGGCGAAAAAACCATGGGCAACGAACATGGACAGCCGGCACTGGAAAATAAAGAGGGAACGCAAAACAGAAGAGCAAAATACAGGAAGACGCGGCGAAGCCAAAAACCCAAGTTGCATACTGGCGATCTTCCTTCCTAGGATTCGCTTTTGAAAGGTTCTGGGTAGGGGCCGCCTCAGCTGCAGCCCCCTCAGCGGCCTCTTTCTTGCCGCCCTGTCGTTTCTGCTGCTGCTGAAGCTGCTGCTGCGTGCCACTCTTTGTTGAGCCCAAGCTGCCAGCTGAAGCTGCAGTTGCTTGCGCCGTTGCGGCAGCAGGAGCCTCCGCTGTTGATGCGGCTGCTCCTGCTTCGCGTTGCAGCACAGCAAAGGAAAGCACAGGCATCGTCTCCACAAAGCGTTTGTACGCATCGCGCTGTTTGCTGACCTCTTCCGCAGCAGCAACAAGACGGTCCAGGAGCAGTTCAGGGTCTTCCTTCTGTTTCCTGTTCAGACAGCCCTTACACCATGCGCGCTGAGCTGTGAGCCCTACACCCATATTCAAATCACTTAATACAGACGTCGTTTCTATCCTAAATCCCAAGAGCAAGCGCACTCCAACTAGTAGACTATCAGCTGTACACCTTATAGGCTCTAGGTGTACACCCCGAGGTCTGAACCCGAAATCCTACACCCTACACTGCTCATCTGTTCAGCACGCGCTGACCTGTTGCAGTCTTTAATGCACATTAACTCAGCAGCAACTTGTTTGTCGTTGGTTTCTGCTGCCTGTAGAGCAGCAGCAAGTCGTTGTGCCTCTGTCGCAGCAAATTGCTCTGCCGCTTCTTGCGGCGTTGCTGCCGTTAGCAACATGAACACCGCGACTCCTACTGCTGCTTTCTCCAGCGAAAGTAACAGAGTAGTAGACCAAGGCAAGCCCCACAGGCAAAGCAGCAGATCCAGGGTGGGCTCACGTAACCCTGACTCTAGTCTTCTTGATGCACCAGCGGATACCTGATGCTGTGGCTGCTGCTGTTGCTGTTGCTGCCCCAGTTGCTGCTCCTGAGCGTATGGCGGCACAGATTGTGCCGCTGCAGCTAGTGCATTTGCCTTTTCTTGTTTCATCGCCGCCGCGTACTCGTTCAACAACACAGATATTACCCGAGCCACATCCGCAGGCTGCAAACCAAACAACTAGGCCTTACAGTCTAATTCTTGTGTTGCCCGAACCCTGCTGTGTGTTGAATCCAAGAATTGTTCTGCATTTAGCTTAAACTGATGCTCTCCACAGCAAAACAACAGCGTTCCGGTGTTGAAACCCACAGGCTAGACCCTATTCACCAAGCCCAAAGCCCTAAAGTGTAAACCTAAATGCTTACGTTGACGTCTGCAATGGATTTGGCCTTGGAGTCGGACAGAAGGTTGTTTCGCTTTGCATAAAAATATATTTCGTCGCCATGGGCCACGACCACCTGGCAGGATCGGGGACCCTAATGCAAAAAACAATTAATCGCTAACCTCTGACCCTACTCCCTGAACGCCAAGCCCATGAGTTCAGTGTTCTTTAAAAAGCGTACGCATAAAAGGCCTCTAAGTGATGGGAATCAACTGTTCTTTTACTTCCATTTCTAGTTGCGAAGTGATTCAGCCCGTAAAATCTATGTAGCAGGTTGCAAAACCAAAGAGGTTTACGACTTTGTAACGGTCGCAGCAGCTATACTCCATACACACAGAAGATATGCAACTTTCAGAGAACTTGAATGCTGCCCCTCCTACTTGGGAGTTTGAAGGGCTGTCTGTCCCTGCAGCTCGTTTGTCTGCTGCTTCTGATGCAGCAAGCAACAAAGCTGTGCAGTCCACGCTTTCTTGCTCCTGTGCAGCAGCGGCAACACCCTCGCCAGCCGCTCCTGCAGCAGCAGCAGTAGCTGCTGCTGCTGCTGTAGCTGCTGAGGTTGCAGTAGCGGTAGCAGATGGGGATGGCAAAGTTGTTGGTGGACCTGGTTGGGGTATCACAGCAGCGATACAAAAGCTAAATTGCATGGAGTCAGCAGATGGCGCATTTTCTGCTGGGGCAACAGCAGCGGCACCCAACCGTCTATGCGCTGCCTCCTGGTTCTTAAAAGCCGATGATAAAGCAAGGGCTCCCCCGCGGATCCCTTGGCCTCCTTTGGCGGAAGGGCCGCCGGAGCCCCATCCTGCCTTCCCCTTGACGGGCATGGATGAGTCTGAATCCGCTAACCCTAACCTTTACGCCCTGAGCAATTAATCCTGGTGAGTGAGCGATTGGAGAGCCTGCGGGCTTTGTTCGAGTGACACTGGGCAGCTCTTGTGTATTAATTGCAATGAATGATACTAAATATACATCTTCACATCGTTTAGTTATATTTTTCAAGATGGGTTGGGGTCTGGAGGCGATGAAGTTCAATATGGATTAAGTGACCCTGGCGGGGCTCCGCTTAGAGGTGGCCAGGCCTTCGAAAGGAGTTTGAGCTTGCATGTGTATATAGTTATGCTGGCATCTTGATTTTTAAACATACAAATTTCGTGGTGCGATAGATATATTCTTCAATACAGGAACAATTGAGGGGGCCATCGCTCGCTGGCCTCGTTAGTAGTGTCCCTCGGCGACGTCGTAACCGAATAAGCCTAACTGGCGTCCATTACACCCTATGAATTAAAGCACCTAACTAATGTATTTACATCCTTTAGACGAGTAAAAATAAGATGTGCCCTTCTTCTGGGCATGGTTAGCGACGTGCACGCCACCGCTCCACACGACTACTGTCACCTTGCATCGGCCTTGGATATCCAAATTATGTCCTGTTCCTACTGCATTCTTAAACAACAGACCTTACATCTGTCCACCTCCCTCTATATATATATATTATAAATCCGCGAGCTTCGGACCACATCAGCCACACAAGCTCCATCCATAATTATAGACAGCCTAGCAAGTAAGTATTGCCACTGCAGGTTCCTCATCCACTGTCACCGACACAAAAAGAGGCCCCCTCGGGAGGGCCCAGTTCCCAGCAGAGCCCCAGAGTCCTGAGGAGACCCCGCTTCCCTTTTGGGCTCCCCCCGAGTCATCCACAACACTAACAGGGTTCTTTGAACGTCCGTTGGAGTTACCCTGGGGGCTTAACTCCTAAGGCGTCTTGAAGTGTCCATGGCGATGATGAAACAGCAGAGAGAGACAAATCTAAATCATTTAGAACTGGCTCTCACGGCTCCTGTGCGGAGCCACACGGCCCAGGGTTGTCCTCTCATACGAGGAGGGGTCCCTGTCCCAAAGAAAACAGAAACCCACTTAGGACTGCAGCTATGCTCAGCCCTAAAAATGCCCTACCACACACATGTAACGCTTGCGGGGCCTTCATCGGCTCAACGGGGGTACCAACTACGAACTCAAGCAAGCCACAACAGCGGGAGCCTGCAGATGACTAAGGGGTGCCCGCCCCTCAGCAGGCTCAAACGTGCCTGCTTTACAACCTGAATTCTGGTTTAAGGACAATAAATTTTTGTTTGTCTTCTGTTGCCTCCATCTTACAGACCTTGTGAACCACTGCCTTCACACAAAACCTCATAAAGCAATTTGACCACAATCCGTAAACCCTGATCCTTTCGCCCTAAACCCTACATTCCGAAGGTTAGGCTTGAATACGATGAACTCACGCCACGAAACGTACTTGTATGCGCTTGAAATCTTCGTTTTTCTCCTTGACTTTGAACACGGTCATGAAATCCTGCAGCACCAGAGAAACAGCCGCGCCTCCTCTATAACTACGTTCACCTATGTTTCCTGTTTGCTCTGCCTCTGCTTTTGCTTTTTTTATACATCTGTATGGATGCCCCTATTTTGCTTGTTCTCTTTGCACTGCTACCACACACAGAACCAAGGCGGCTCTAGGGTTGATAGTGTTCACAGCATACTTTCACAGCCATGCGTCCCATATGCTGCTGCATCACACGAACAACTTTTGCCTCAAGGGTCTCTTGTACTTCCTGCTGCTGGGCACACCCTGAGGCTTCAGTCTGCTGCTGGGGTCCCCCCTGGGTACTCCTTGAGGGGGCTCCACCAGCACGCTGACCCACGTCAGATGGAGGGCCCCCACTGGAACTGGGGCCTCCACTCTGTCCATCTTGAGCCTTCTCGTCTGCGCCTTCCTGGGAAAATGACAAAACCAACGATATCTGCACCCGCAACTGATGAAGTGCATAACTAGCTGGCTTGATAACGAGCTAGTTTGGTGGCCTGTCCACCTGCAGCGCGAGAAATGTTTATCGATTCGTGGTCTTGCTCCATTACGTAGCTAGCGAATTGATGTCTCCGCTAGTACCCCTAACCAGCTTACAAGATAGTCGTGTACAATATTCGTTAGATAGATACATAGCTAGGTAGATGCATGGACAGTTGGCTGATACCTCTTCGTCGTCGTCTGACTCGTACTGGTGAAGTTCGGCGTCGGCTTCTTCATCCCTGGCCTTCTCTAACAAGTTTTTCATTTTCTAAGTGCGAAACCAGCAAGCATATTGGGGCCGCACAGAAATATACAAACAAACGGGCAAAGCATAGCACGAAAGGCACCATTACAAGCAGTGAAGAGCAAACGGAAAGGAAGAACAACCAAAACCGTGACTTGATCCCAAGAGCAGCAAAGACAGCAGTGAAAGAGTGGGCTGCAGTAGCGTCAGCCAGCAGAACAGCAACATGTGAAAACCCAGCAGCGAGAGCCTCACCGGCCCGCTGAGTTGACAGCAACAGGGATCCCGGTTAGCCCAGTAGCAATAATAAAGGCTTCAGCAGCAGTCTCAACAGGCAGAACATTTCCAGCCAGTATAACGACAGCAACGACAGCAAAAGCTGGCTTACTTGGCCAAACGACGTAAGAGGGTCCTCCGGGTCATCATCGGTCTCTGACTCTACAGGGTCAGCTTCAAGAGTCTCTGCTGCGTTTTCTTTTGCGTCCTGTGGAGCCTCGCCACCCTCGTCGTCACTTCTCTCGCCCTCCTCAAAGTCCCACGTCACAGCCTCTTGGCGCAAATTGCCCAGGCTCAACGCACTGCAGCAGCCCAGTAGCCGCATCAGTGAAAGTGGATGCAATGGGCGTGATATATTAGTAGCAGCGAAGGTCGAAACAAGTAGTCCGGCTGAAACAGCTAGAAGGGCGGCAGCACGACCAGCTAAGATAAAGAGAAAGCGGAGTCGTAGAGGAAAACAACAATAAACGGCATCATGCTGCTGTTGTAACATACGAGTCTATGTATTCGTTGGTTTTCCCTTTGCTGTTGTTCTTGTCTTTTAGGAAACTTTTGAGCCTCTTTTTCTTCTGCCTGCAAAACAAGGTAGCCGCAGACGCCTTCTTTGTCCATACGCCTCCACACCAGCAGCGCCAAGGACATAGCTTCTCACGAACTCGCGAGCACGCGAGATCTCCAACGGCACTTTCAAGATCTAATGGACGCAAGCGCTTGTAGAGGTACAAGGTACTAAACATTGGAGTTTCGGAATTGCAAACATTTTGCGTGTGTATACATACGGATTTTAGAATCATATACAACCAGCAGTATTTAACCTTTAGGAGTAACATTACAGAGAAGTAGAGTTTGGTTCCGCGCCCGAAAGACGTTTAATGACTGCCGTACCTCTCTAGTCCCAGCTCATCATCAAATAAAGACTGCTGGGCATTTGCCATTTTATTCTTTCTAGTATCATCTTCGCTGTCACTTGCTCTCCTAAGGCCAACCGCCTTCCGAGTCAGAGCCGCATCTAGAGAGGCTTGCGCTTTCGACTGCACGCAAACGCCAACTCTAAACCCCTAGTATTCTAAGACAAGGCGTTTGCAACCGACGTTTTGGACCAAAATACATAAACGGTTCTGAAAAGCAACGCATAAAGGCCTCTCACGAAGCAAACGAAGCAGCAGTAGCGAAAACGGCAGCAGCGGCGGCAGTAGCAGCGGCAGCGAGCACTGGCAACAACATCAAGACGTAACAGCAGTGCTAGAAAAACCACGAAGCCGCAAAAACCATGACAATTGCATAAGCAGCAATATGCGGAAGCACAAGCATCGCAATATGATGACAACAAGAGGAGCAGCGCTAGCAACGGTACCCTTGACTCAAGTTCCTCCGGGGAAGGCTGTTGTGTGCCGAGTGTTCTTTCGAAGGTGAGCCACTCAGAGACCGGCAAAACATCAAGCACACCCTAAACATCAGCACAACATCAAAAAAGCTGAGCGTAAACAAAAAAGGAACACAATTACTTGTGTACGCACGAACTTAGGTTAAAAGCTCTCCCTACAACCGTTCAAAGACAAATGCTCATATTCTTTCCGTTGTGATGCATCCAGATTATGCATGCGTGCAGATAGGCAATGGGGCTGCAAATGTTCCTGCCCTTGTTGAGCTACATCTATTCCTCCTACTGCGGCTGTTGCTGCTGCTCTTAATACCTGGCTTTCCACAAGAAGGAAGAAGCAAGAAGCATCGACTTCATTCTTTCTAGTCACAAACGTTTTCTGCTGAGGCCGGCGCATTGGAATCGGTGGAGCGGACGATCCTGCCGCCCCTTGCTGCTGCTCTTGCTGCTCGTGTTGCTGTTGCTGCTGCTGCTGCTTCTCGGAGTGCTGCTGTTGCTGTTGATCTGGTAGCTGCTGTACGTCTGAGGAATCACGAAGACGCCAGGGAGCAGCAGCGGCAGCCGTGGCAACTGCGTGTGCCTCAGCTGTGTCTGGCAGCTGCAACAACAGACGCAGCGATAAAAATTGGCCGTCCCACGTTCGCAGCCACAAGGGCAGCAGTAGCAACTACAACGGGAGCAATAAATTCTGCTCCTTTCTACTGCAGTACCAGGCAATTCACAAAGCTCCGTCAACTCAGAAGTAAATCGACCAAACTTAGCAATGGAAGAGGGAAAGACAAACCACGGGAGATAAAAACAACATGCAAATGCCAGACCCGCAAACTGTGCCCAGCTTTCTTTTCCCTGCTAAAACAATGAGATGATGCAAAGAGGCACGTGTGGGGTTGCACTCTGCGCCTAACCCAAAAAACTACGAATAAAAGCAATAAAGCGAGGCAAGTCCCCGGTAACATAGATCAACTGCCCTGGGAACAGAACATGACGAACAACGAGACACACACACGCCAGACAAACAAGTACACAGCACCGAAGCAACAAAAAAGTCGAAAAGAAACGTGCAAGAGGAGTGTCGTCAGAAGCGCGGATCGATGCACTGTGGCGTTAGCTGAGGTGGCGAACAAGGAAAAGAAAAAGTTACAATTAACGTGAACAGAGGGATCATGTGATGCGCAAGAAGTAAGCAACACTTGCCAGAGGAATATCCCTTGTGATAGAGATCGGTTGCCTTAGAGTTTTTATCGTCTCGGGCAACTTTGCTACCAGTAAACTCCGAGATTGGCGAGAAACGCTAAACCGCAAGCGGCGAGCACCATCTGCAAGGTCCACAACGCCGAAGCCCTACAGCTTGTACATTATATCGTAAATCCCCACGTCGTGAGGTTCCACGACAGCATTGCCATCAATCGCAAGTCCGAAATGGGTCCTAAATCTCGAACCTATAGTCGTACATTCTAAATACGAAGTGCAGAGGCGACTCACCACCGCGTTGCAGCACTTGCTGAGCCACCTGTTCGAAGGGAACATAATCCGAGGACGGCCCCTCGTTTGGGGAGGATGGGGAAGTGCTTTGTCCCCCAAAAGAGGGTCGCGAGCCGCTGCTGCTGCTGCTGCTGCTGGTGTTTCCAGGCGTGGCGGAAAGACTTCGGGCCGCAGAGGCACTAATGGGCTGGCTGCTGCTCCAGGGCACGAGCTGCTGCTGGTGCTGCTGTTCAATCTGTTGCTTCAAACTCAGAGCACGACCTTGCTGCTGTTGCTGCTGTTGCTGGCGCTTCCGAAGCATATCGGGGGTTCTCAACGGCTTCACTAGAGGTCCCCTCATCTTCAAAACTGTGGGGCCCGTCGGGCGGTACCTCTGCAAATTGGAGAGGTGGAGACGCAGCGCGGAGCTACTCCAACGGTACACATGTACACCAGCATCTGGCGCTGCCGGCGGTAACTCACTAGCAAAGGCTAATTATTCCAATTGACCTGCAGATGCCATTCTAGCACTCCTTCTGGTTCCTATTACGAGAACTTTTGTTCGTGCTGCCATTATTACCATTGCAGTTGTTAGCTTGATGGAGCTACTGCCGCCATATTGCCGCCGGCTCACCTGGTTCCACTACCCCGGCTGCGACTGCGCTTTATCTTGTTGCCTTCTACGACAGCAAGCCCGTTGATAAATTCTGCTGCAGCTCCTGCTGCTGTTGCAGCAGGATGATGGAGGGCCCTTCTCTGGGGCCCACAGCAGCAGTTTCACTCTTGGAGCCGTGAGTTTCTCGCAGTTTGCTGCCTCCGCATGTCGCTGTGTCACAGCTGCAACACGAAAAGCAGCCAAACTCAGCGGCAAATACAGCAACTGCAGCAACGGCAGCAACTGGAGCAGCTGCAGCGGCAGCTACAGCAGCAGCAGCTGCAGCGTTGCGCAAAGTCGGTGGTTGCGCAGCAGCAACGCCAGTTGTGTCTTGGCCTGAAGGGGGACAATGAGACCTGTTGAGTATCATAATGAGTTTACAGCTTTAAAACAAAATGCAATTCTTAGCTAGCTAAATAGATGCCTTAACATCTGCAATAGGAGCAGTGGCCGCAGCAACAGACGGGTCAAGGTGTGGGGCCCCGTGTGTGTAGAACAAGAACAACAGCAGCACAAGCACTAGTCCTTCCAAGTGAGACGCTTGAAAAGGGTCCTCACTTGTCTTAAGGGGTCTACAAGGTCTCCCGCCGTAGATGTCGCGCCTCCGCGGCCACTCGTGTTTGCTGTTCATGCGGTTGCTCCTGCTTGCCGCTGTCTGCGTGTACACCGCGCTAGAGCAGCAACCGTCCCTTGCATTCGTCGTGCGCGGGATCGCAGGGAGCTTGTCGGTGTCAGGTCCTTCGTGGAGGGCTGGGACGGGCTGCTGCAGCTGCAGCAGCAACAGTAGCAACAGCAACAGCAACAACGCCATATCCTACATCTCGAGGCGTCTTGACTCATTCGTGATGTCAAGACGCTCATCTTTGTCCGCTGTCTCGCCGTAAGCTTCTTTTATAAGTTCTTCGACGGCCTTCAAGGTATTGGTGGCGAAGTGAAGAACCTTGATGGCACTTGGAAGCGGTCACTGCGAATGAATAGTCACGGGGGCCCTCGAAAGCTTTTAAGAGGGTGCTTTTTCGGGCCTTCCACACGGGAGTACCTGTGGGGTCTCCAAGGCCCCCTTTTGGGGGCTCTTACCTATCATGCTCCCTTTTCGTAAAACTTCATCTGTGTTGAACATTCCTGAATGTCACCGCATCTCTCGGAGTGCACTTCTGTATATGGGTAGTTTCTGCTGCGGCGACCTCCTGCTGCTGTCTCTGCTTGTTCTTCTGCTTCGCTTCAGGGTGGCTGAGGCAGCTGTAGCGAGTTCCCCTGTAGCGCCGGAAATCCCACAGGTTAGATAGGGGCACCCTGAGTGAGGGGTCGTGGACTTCTTTCGATTCATTAATAGGGACACAAATGCAGAGTCTGTGGGCAAAGAGGCTCCTCAAGTACTGCACTTAAGAGCTTTGGAGTGCGTTTAAGGGGCCATATCTGCATTACATTTGGGAAGCGTGTAAAAAAGGCAGCATATATGGGGACCTTTAGAGGTCGTGAATGGATCTTTTGGGGTCATGATTTGGTGCTATCCCCGAACCCTACCAGTAGGGTGACTCACGGCTCACATGAATATCTGGGCTCAATTATCGAAAAGGCCCATGCTGCATATTTAAGGCTAAGCCGAAACCGATTCGAGGGCTTTGCAGACGCAGAACTTGGCAGCAGCGTTGGTACCAAGGACTGCTGCTGAGTACTTTGCGTGCAGGAGACACCGGAAGAAGTGAAACAGCAAATACGAAAGAGGCGGCTTTCCAATCATCGTGAGAGATGCGATTATGTGTCGTCATCTGTTCTAGTTCTTCCAGCATCTCTCTTCTTTTTCTCTACCTCATCTATTCCGTTGGCTTTTACGTTTCTTCTACATTTCCCCTCCTGCATGCTTCTTTTTCTGTCTATGTCTCTCAGCGTGCGTCAATCTGTTCGCGTTTGTTTAGTGCGTTTGTCTGTTTGTGTCTGTCCTGGTCTTTGTCTCTTCGGGCTTAGCTGAACACTTCTCGTTGCACTCTCGCTGCCGTGTGCTTTCCAGTTTCCTTCTACTTGTTCGGGTCTGCTTGTGTTCAAATGCAAGTCCCTGTATATCACTCTGTGCCAAGGTTTCTTTTTCCTCCGTGCGTTTGTGCACTTCCGATTTTGCGCCTTTCCCTGTCTGCGTACCTGTTTCCCGTCTTTCATTTGTGTACATGTGCTGCCGCTTGCTACAGTCCCTCCTCATCGTATATTGAAAAATGATTGCCTCCGGGTCGCCCTTATGGGCCCCTCGGAGTACAGGGAGCTCATCTTGCAGCAAGGCATTGCAGCAGCAACCGCAGTAACAGCAAGGGTACAAACAGAAGAACCAGCAGCAGCAGCGACAGCCGAAGCAGGAGACATTGATACGTTTGCAGTGCCTGTGTGGGTGATGCGCCAAGCTGGCCGATACCTGCCCGAGTTTAGGGCGGTAAGATCTAAGTACAAATTTCTTACAGTACGTTAACTTTCGTCCTTCGTATTTGGAGTTTTATTCCAAATTTAGCGTGGACCATATGGAAAGATTTCGGCGTAGCTTGCCTGTGTCAGGAAAGGGGCTCGTCTGCGTACCTCTTTTCCTTGCATCTACATAGAACGGGGAGGAGCGAAGATGAAAATTAAGAATCACGTAACAAGGGCACTTCGGTCAACTTTTTCCTTTTTCACTTCACATTTGCGTTCGCATTTACTATCGTCTCTTTTTTAATTTATCAGGTGTGCAGAGACCCATTGCTGGCAGCTGAGGTAACCCTTCAACCTCTTCGTCGTTTCCCTCAACTTGATGCCGTCATTATCTTCACTGACATTCTTGTCTTGCCCGAGGTATCTGCGCACAGTCATAAAACCTGAATTCAACCCGTCCCTACGCCTTTGTGCCGAAGGCTTACTGGTCTCACGTTTTGGAAGCAAAGAGCTACCCGTAGAAAGGTCTCGCGAAGGAATTTTAGAGTAAAGCGTTTAGAATGTTCACATTGCAGGCCATGGGAATGCCTCTAACAGTAGAAGAAGGAGAGGGCCCGCGTTTCGGCTGGAGGCTTGAGTCGCCATCTGACATTGACCGTCTAGACGCCACATTTGATGTCGAGGACAAACTGGGTACGGGCCAAGGGCTTAAAGGACTTTCGGCTTAGTGTTTGTGGCGAAGAGTGTTGAGACAGGTGCGCCGTGGGATCCTTGATGACTCTCCGTTTGTTCGTATTACCGCTTCTGGTGCTTTTGCTTCAGGGCACGTACTGGACGCAATATACGCAACAGTTGAGCAGCTGGATGGCCGCGTGCCGTTAATCGGGTTTAGTGGAGCTCCCCTCACTTTGTTTTGCTATATGGTAGAGGGTGGATCGTCCGCCAAGGGCTGGCGCAGGTGCAAAGAGTTCATCTACCAACATCAAGAGAAGTCACTGCTACTGCTACAGCAGATCGCTGCAGCAGCGGCAAGGTACCTTATCAAACAGGTTGATGCCGGAGCTCAAGTGTTGCAGGTAAGTATGGCATAGCAACTGTCTTCCCTCTCTTACTGCAACCGCTTCTGTGGCTACCGCTGCTTGTAAGATCGTTGTTCGTACTGCAGAGGCGAAATCTGCTGCTTCTGCATTTGCTGTCGTTGATGGTGCCAATCTCAGGTCTTCGACACAAACGCGGGCGCTTTCTCCCCTGAGGAATACGAGCGATTTGGGGCTCCCTTTATGCGACAAATTGCGGAGGTGCCATTGCCCGCTACTCTTGCAACTGCTTTTGAACGGTTTCGCTGTACTTGCCGGAATTCTATGCTACGCTTGCTGCTGATGATGCCGTTGCTGTTTGTGCATTTTCCTGCTCTTACAGCGCTTCATCGTGTGGCTGTGTCCCTATCGTTTTGTGTGTGTGTTGTGTATATATATATTAGTGTGTGTGTGTGGGTGGGTGGGTGGGTGGGTGGGTGTGTGGGTGGGTGTGTGTGTGTGTTTGCGCGCGCCCCTGGCGTCGTGGCTATTTTGTCCTATCATCCCATCTTCCCCCAAATGCTACACCGTAAAGTGTGGCCTGTCTCTGCAGGAGGTGGCATCTGCTCGTCCCGGAGTGCCACTAATTGCCTTTCCTAAAGACCAGCCCCTCTCATCATTCAACTCGTCATCCTTTTCGGCAATAAGTATCGGCTGGGGCACAGAAAGGGCCCTTGCTAAGGCTAGGCTTCAGCAAGGGGCCTCCCTTGGTACCAGGCCCCCCATAGACAGCCCGCTCACCAAAGCGTTGCAGGGAAACTTGGATCCCCACATTCTATATGCGCCAGATGAAGTCATCAGGCAGCAAACGACAGACATGGTGAGCGCTTTTTGACTTTTCTGAATAGGGTTCACGCTTCAGGTTTTCTCCTTGGTGCGGAGTAGTAGTGCTGGGATCAGCCATGCGGTGACAGAGGGAACTTATACGTCGTTCCTTACTACGCAGTCACTGATGCAACAGCAAATTGAGGTGCTCAGTGCCTTTGCTGCTGCATCACATGGGGTCGGCACTCACAGTTTCGTGATTTTCCCGCGATACCATGTTGTTGTTGAAGCCGTTTGTGTTTGCTTTGCTGCTTAAGCTTGCAAGCATTTTTCCGTAGCGCATTCTTTCTTTTTGAACAAGTATACTTATCACTTTTACTGCTGCTGCTGCTGCAGCTATTTTTGAGTCGGTTAGGGTTGTGCTGCAGGTGCGCGCATTCCAGCCTGGGCGTTACGTGGCAAATTTGGGGCATGGAATGGAGCCTCAAATGGACCCTCACAAGCTCGAGGTTTTCTTGCAGTCTGTGAAAGACGCGGCAGCACAAATCAAGGAGGAGCACGAGGCCGCGTGCAACACACAGGCAGCAAGACAGCCAGCTACTTAGCTCGCTAGGTCACTTGTATTTCAGTAGCTACCTGTCAGCAACTTAAGCTGCGTCTTGTCGTCTAGTTAGAGAAATATTCAGCTAACTTGCCATCAAAATAGTCAACAGGCGCAGCAATTTTTGGTACTCTAGACGCCACAGATGCACTCACGAGAAGCCCAGCGAGTAGATCTCAAGAGAGATCAGCAAGGCGTTCGTCTCCGTGACTTGCAGCTGATTGTCTCATAGGTCTTGTCTCAGCTCGCGGCCGCCACGGCGTTCAAGCTTGCAAGGTAGGCAGCTAGCCAAGTTACAGCAAGGTGGCTGTGAAGTCGGAAGGCCACTGTCTACCCTGGCAGCCATCCAAGCAAACGGGCGCCTAGCTAGCCAGTTGTTTAGCTTGCCAGATACATGGGCAGGAGTCTTGAGAGCTAATTATCGGGCTAGCTCGCGAGTCTCCTGCTGCAGGCGAGAGTTTCTTTGGCCTCTCTCTGCAGTTTCAAGGAGCGGCCTGTGCCTGCATTAATCTACTGAATTTGAAAAGGCGCGTTTAGAGCTAAGCTTTGCGTAGAGCTTGCTGTATCCCACTGCGGTGGGCGAGCTGCTTTCCCGAGCTGCATGGTTTCCTTTTTGGGACGCACTTCAGCTTGTTAAATTAAGCTAGCACGGGCTTGTTCCTGTATTACCACTCTATCCCTTCGTACTCGTCGCAAACAGCTACTGCTGTTTTTGAGTCGGAGCCAGCAACGGAGCCAGCAAAGTCCAAACTTTAACATACGTATGAGTTGCGCTTCTGTGGTGGCATTTGACGGTTTTCAGTCATTCGCTTCTTCTGCCTTCGTCTTTTTCGCCGAGCTAGAAGTAGCCGGTTCCGCCTCCACAGTGCCCTCGCGTTTCTTGCTTACGCTGCCACTGCTGCAACTGCTTGTGCTGTTACTGCTCGTGCCGGCGCTGCTACTGCTGCTGCTCCTGGTATTGATGCTGCTGTTGCTGCTCCTGTTGTTGGGATGCTGGGTTGAACGGGGCTGAGTGGGCAACGAGTCCGAGGCTTGTGCGGATCGCCACAAGATATACTTGAAGGCGCCCATTTGCCGAATAGGAGACGACCCCAGCGAACCCTATGCAGCGCAAGCAGATGCCTACACACCAGATTGTGCCCAAATACTTCAACTTGGATGTCCTGCTCTAGAGGTGCTGTGTATACTGCATTTGGTGCTCGATAGCAATGTAAGCCGCACATGCTCCGCGTGAGCTCTTGCAGTAGCAGGGGCTATGTACTCGGAGAAAGATACAACGAAAATCAGAAGGTAAGTGAAGACAGCACCCTGCCGTACTCCACAGGGATCATTGCCGCACGTTGCAGCGGCAGACGGGAAGCAAGGGCCCGCTGCTGCGGCATCAGCCAACAGCGGCAGAGGAAACACATGAAACAGCTCCTGCACAAGCGGCAGCAATGCGGAGTCAACGCACGCTACGCTGCTGCAGCGGCCCCACCTCAATTAAAGCCCTCCAGAGTCCTCCGCAGCTCCAGCTGGACCTCTCAGTAAGAGCAGCAACAACCTGTTGCAACAAACCGTCCTGCATCAGTTCAGCCAAGCCCCAAACAAAGTAGCGCATGCGGCGACCACATAAGCTGCAGGCCAGCCACTGCAGCAGGAACTTCAGCTGAGCATCCCCACCAAAAAAGCCACAGCCCCAATTGCCTGCACGCAGCAGTAATACCAAGCACAGCAGCAAAAAAGGCAAAGGTGCAAAATCGCTGGAGCGCCTGCACGCAGCAGTAATACCAAGCACAGCAGCAGCAAAGGCAAAGGTGCAAAATCGCTGGACCGAGTAGCAGGAAGCAGTAGTATGCAACGGCAGTCAGCGGCTAAGCTACAGTCGTATCTGTCTCTCCGAAAAAGCTCTCCTGCACCTGTTGTAAGTGGTCTTAGATCCAGTTTCTTCTCCGTTGCTGCAGCTTGTGCCGCAGCTGTTGTTGCACCGTAAGCTGTATCTGTTGCAGTGAGGGTTGTCGCTGCTGCGTGCGGCAGGTCCGGTTCGTATGGCAAATGAAGAGCAGCGGATACTTTCTGTACTTCGCGCATCATGAGAGGTACGGAAAACTGAAACGAAGAGTGCAGTACTTCTCGTGCGGTTGCGTGCCGACTGTGAGACGGTAACTCCAGCCCCAAAACCTCCGCTGCGGCTGCCGCTGCTGCTGCTGCACTTCGAGCAGCACCAGAGGATCCAAAGCGTCTTGCATCATATGCAGCCACGACAGAGGCTATCTCCAAGCGAAGCAGCGGACTCAGGGGACCTGGCTCTTGTGCTGCTGCTTCAGTTACCGTGCCTGTCCTTTCCTGTGTCCCTACTTCTCTGTCTTTCCCTAATTCGGTTTCTGCCCTATGCTGTTTCGTATTCTTCTGCTCCTGCGGGTCGCTAGTAAAATGTGGCACAGGTAGCCACTGCAAGCGGATAGGGGTGCTGTCGACAGCCTCAACCCCCTCTACCCCTTTCCAGCCTCTCCAGCAGCTGTTGCTGCTGCTTTCCGTCATTTTTGCGTAGTCTTTGGTAGTGCTTTCTGCTTCATCATCGGAATCTAGAGATAGAAGCAGGCAACTTTTCAGACTAGGCTCATTCAGCTCTGCTCGCCACTGCTCCTGCGGCTGCTGGTATTGGCGTCGATGATGGTTGTCAGAGCCAATATCTGCCTGCTGCTGCAGCTGCCCCTGCTGACCTGATTGTGAAGAAGTTCTGCTGCCTTTGGCTGTGCTGTCCCCCTCTGGAGTTGCATTAAGCATACACCTGAAGGTGTTCGCATACCCCTGGTACCTAGAGAAGCGGAGGCAGCCGCAAACGTGTGCTGCCTCCCCTGGAAACAGATGCTGCGACAGAGGTCGCAACAGTAGTAGCTCGGGATACACAGCAAAGAGAACTTCCTCCTGCAAACACCCTTAGCGCAAGCACATGAAGGCGCACAAAACGGACAGATGCAATAGCTAAGGAAAAATACGTCATACTACCCAAAAGCAAGTTACCAAAAGGTTAGGAAAGCGCACAGCTGCAGCGGATCATGAATCGAACGTAACTGTGGAAGAAACCACACGGCAAACCTGATGAAGCAACAAAGTGCAGTAGCTTCAGCCGCAGCACCGGAGCAACACACCACCACCGTTAGACAACAGCGCGGTCCTGCGCCTGCTTAAATATTAGCAACACTATGGCGAAGCAGCAGCACTGGCAGCAGTAGCAGCACCTCTAGATTACCTTGGTACAAAATTCCTCCGCCAACCACTTTGTTTGCAAAATCCGCTCTGATGTCAAGCGCTTCACTAGTCGGGATGCCTCCCCCCTCTTCTGCGTGAAGAAACAGCTGCGGCTGCAGCAGTCGTCCCTCTTGCAACGCCAAAGCCTCTGAGCTGATACTACAAGGCTCCGCCTGGGCCCGGGATATTCGGATACACCGTAACACGAAACAGCAAGGGTGACTCACAGGCCACTGGCCAGTAGCAGGCCCACGGGGGACGTAGCTGGAGCGACCCAAAAGAAGGCCACTCCAGGTCGCCGCTGCGCCCTTGACGCCTCTGCTCTCGCTGTTCATACCCACGTCAGGCGGTTTCGGTATCCTTGAATAGCCGCATATTTGTGTGGCAGCAGCGTCACCAGCAGCTGCAGCATATACAGTGCCAGTAGAAGCACCGGGACTCTCGGCCGCAACAGAAGCTGCGACAGCCTGTGTGGGAAGTAGGCTACACGTCTCTTCTTCTAGAAGCAGAGAAAGCTGACGGACTTCTTGCTGGTTTCGGGTATCTCTACAGCAAAGAGCAGCAAGGTGAGGGGGCGCAAAGGCAAAGAGGGGGAGGCCTCTGCGCTGACACTTGTCGTGGAATGCCTCCACTGCTGCAGCCATGCAACAGCAGTACCTGCAGCAGGGCGCATAAATATTCAGGGTGCGGTTGTTGCTGTTCATGCCATTGCTGTTATTGCTTTTGTCATACATTATTGTCGCTGTTTCCAACATAAAACCAACTTACCTGATAAAGCAGTGGAGTTTGGCGGCCTGGCTTGGTGCTGCAGCAGATACCACAAGCAGCAATAGCAGAAACTAGCAAGAAATACGCGCTCATCTCCAGCTGCTCAAGTCCCTGTTTCTAGAAATCTCGGCGACAAACAGTGAGATGACAGCAGAGGACAGGAAAGAGAAGGACACCAAATTCGGTTCACCGAAACCCAGACACAGCACGGTCAAACCCTACAGAGTCCAGTACAAACAGCAGCAGCAGCACTAGGAGGATGAGACTTAGCTTCAGCAGCAGCAGCATACCTGTGAAATCAAAGAAATCAACAAACGAGATATCTCCTAGGTTTGGCAGTCCCGTGGCAGCCCTTTGCCATTCGGGGGGTGGCAGTAAACCAAAAAGGCCCAGACCGAACAGTACCCAACCTTCGGCAGCGCTAATCTCTGCTGGGCAGCTGGCCACGTGCAACCCATTTGTAACGCTGCCCTTGCTGCCGGTACTAACGGAGCAGACCCCGCTGCTGCAGTGTTTGTAGAGCTGCAGCCGGAGCCGGCAAGACCCACAAGTGCACGCTTGTAACGTACCAATTCCTATTCTTGCATTTGATGCTGTTCTTGCTGCTGCTGTAGCTCCTTGTGCTGTTCTTCCTCGCAAGATGCGCTTACACCTGGGGAAGATCTGCTCAGCCGTAAGGACCGCCTTTAGCAGTAGCGGAAGGGCTCTCCTGAAAAATGGAACCGTTGCTGCTGCTGGCACTGCAGAAAACAGCCTCTCGACGTTCTGGAAAGTTCGGGCTGACGGCTTGCATGGGGGTGGCAAAGTCTCCTGCTGATGCTGGTGCAGCAGCTGCTTCTGGTGAATTGGCGTTGCCTGGGTCTGGTAACCTTCGTCTTGGGCCTCCATGAAAACCCCCAAACCTGGGGGATGTAGCGCACCCTGCTGCACAAGAGCCATCCTCTCCAGGTAGCCCTCATAAACAGCGTTCTGTACATCCCTTAAAATTTGTTTTAGCTTGAGGGCACTCAAGGAGCTCACTGAGGCTCCACCAGGGTTCCACCTTTCCTCGGAGCTTTCCGTGTGTCCCTGCTCCGAGTAGCTCAGGGCTGCCTGCAGGACTGAAACCGCACGTCTCCACTCCAGGGGAGGCTGGAGATGATGCAGCAGCAATAGCACTGGCTGGAAGCCTGGCGTAAGTGGCCCCTGTGAAGGGCACTCATTCATTGTGTGTTCACCACTCATGATGACAGCCTTTCCATGCTGTTCCGTTTACGGGTTTTCTAGCCGTTCTTTATGTTTTTCAGGGGCCCAACGACCCAGTGCTGAGAGATGAAATTGGGCACCCCGGAGCAATGGTGTTCTGTGTCTCGAGACAGCAGAGAGGCCGGCGGGGCTCCCTGGTGACGGCATTGCAGCTCCTCAGGAGGCTGTACATGCACTAGGTAAGTTTCACAGCATGTAATTTGGAATGAGGCGCCTCTAGTGGTGATTCCTGCGAACACATTGCAAATGCTGGTCACTGAGGTGCCCCAACCCTCAAGTGGTCGCCAGGGATTGCAGCTGGTCTTCGTACCTTCCTGTTAGAAAAGTCCGCCATTCCTGTGTCTTGCCACATTAGTGTCGTTCGGGGGAGGATCCAGAGACCCGAAGCCTGTCAGACGTAGAATGCCGACCCCCCCGAAGCCCGGGGGCGCCTCAGTTACTCACAATGCCTTCGTGACAAGCGTGCACGTACTACGTGAAAATTTCAGCCTTCTTTGACTTAAATGATTGGAAAGGTGTAAAGGCAGTAGGGGGAGAGTAACGCACGCATACCGCTAAGTATCGGTCCCCCAAACTTGAACCACATCCACGACCCTTCCATGGAACCCTCGTGTGAAACACAGGTGTCGCAGCACTATACGCAAAATTTCATTCTTTAAATGGCTGTCTTAATTAGTTGTGTTTTCTGCAGCCCATCTGCTGCTGTCAATCGAGCTAGAAAGACCACTTCGGTCCCAACTGGCATGACAACACCCTGAACCACGCTCAGCTCCGTACTTCAACAAGTCCCAAAGGATGTCCTGCATCCCGCCTGTGCCGCGTCAGTGATTCACAACGCGGCCACAGCTGTAATCCGTCTCAGTTGTCTGCGTAACTGAACACCATTACTCCGTCGCCCACTAATTCGCAATGACCAAAGCACAACTCCTGCCTGGTCTACTCGCAACTCACTAAAGGTGGGCACTATATTACGCTATGTCGCAACTTGCTAATGCTTGGAACTAGGCCTATTGCCAGTCTTTCTACACAGCGGCAGCCCGCAGGAAATGCCACACTATGATATACACCAATACACCACAAAAGGAACAACTTAGTTGACAGCCATTTGACCCAACGGAAAACCACACAACCAAACCCTTCAAGCACCCCGTTGGAATACGGAGGGCGCTGATGTACCCTCTGCACTTCCTACAGAGCAGCTAGTCCACCAACCAGTCCAGCAGTGGTAGCCACGCCACCCGCCGCTGCGGTGCGGCTGTTGGCTGCTCAGCAGATTGCAGGAGCAGCTGCAGAAATCTTGGGCCACAACTCTGCGCATTCCTTTGCGACTGGGCCTGTAATGGCAGAGCCCTTCATCTCCCCCTTGTTGTTGCAGATAACCCCTGCATTATCCTCGAAGTATATGAAGTAGCCCTCAGCCCGCCTCCAGGCGCGGCGCTGTCTCACAATGACTGCGGGGTGCACTTTCTTGCGCAGCTCGGGCTTGCCCTTCTTGACTGTGGCCAACACCAGGTCACCGAGGGAGCTTGACGGCAGACGGTTCAGGCAGGATCCCCAGCCCTGTAACACGCAAGGAAGCAACACTCCAGTTGCGCAAATGCAGGGCAAGGGAACACACTGATGGAGACGTTTCTGCAAATGCCACTATTTGAAACGTGGTGAAAATTAAAGCAGCACTTACCTTGACAGCAATGATGTACAGGTTCTTAGCTCCGCTATTGTCGCAACAGTTGATGAGGGCACCCACCGGCAAGCCTGAAATGGAAGTACCAACAGAAGGCAAAGCCGAATCTGTGTCACCTCTTTACTCGTCTGTAGAAACGCATTATTACCTGTAATTCAACAAGTCAATGTGTAGGCTCTAGAATACAGTAAGAATGTGAAGGAACTGTGGCCAGCCTGCTCACCGAGAGTGACCTTCATCTTGTTGCCACCGGCACCTCCACGTCCTAAACAAACAAAAGCCACACAAAGAAGTGAGAGCATAAAGGCAATTTCGGGGAAGTAGTTAGATACGGACCCTCGTCACGCTCTGCGGGTAGCGAGAGATCCGTAGTGCACAGGAAGTTCTTCCACTAGCCGATGCTCGAATTCTATATGGAGATCCGCTTCAGCCAATTTCAAATGAAAAAGTGTAGCCTTCTGCCAATGACAGAAGTCTGAATCCGTCTTCGCCAGTCTACAAGGAAATATTGCATCACGGAGCCACTGAGGGCTTTCCTACACCTGATAGTAGCTTGGGATGAGCCAAGGATCTATAAAGAACGGATATATTCGCTCAGCAAACAATTACAATACACAGGAAGGAATAACAGAGCTGAAATTCGACTTTGCCTTTCACGGAAAAAGAAGCATTGTCACTCGAATGGGCTACCCCACACTCACCGCGCTTCATTGTGCTCTTTGCGCAGGGGAGCCAAAGCAGGATATATTAATGCGGCCTGATATTGCCTTACGGCACAATAGAAAGGTTGTGCTCGCTGCAGGACCTCAAATTACGCCATAAGTCTCCCAAGTTGCACCCACAGCGCTCCAGCCCGCTCCTACCGTGAGCCCCATCGCAGCCAACTGTTAACCTGCATGCAACCCCATTTTATGAGTTGCTAAGAGCGACTGCTCTTTGAGCAGTACTCCAGGTATACTAGTTTTTGGAAATATGCAGTAAGATACATTTTTGTTCAATGCAATATGAGGTGGGATCTTGAAACTCAAAGTGAACCGCCCGAGCCCAACCAGGGCTTATTATCCTCGCTGGCAGCAACCGAAAAGGACGGCACATAACGTAAAAGGAACACAACCTCTAGAGTTCATGTCCTATGCGTTGAGTAGAGCACGAGAAACGCATGGGAACGCTTTTTGAATGGTTAGACACGAGAGAACCCAGATGCAGGTGGCGTTAGGACAGCTTAGGAACTCGTGTTGAGGGGTGAAAGACCACAGTAGTCAGTGAATAGGTCCGCAATTCAGGCTTCGAAGGAACACAGATACATGTGGAATCTGGCGCAGTTTGGGGCCATTTCTCTGCAAGAAAACTCGCTGGTAGGGCATGGGGTGGAATGGGAAGGCTAGTAGGTGGTCGAAGCAGCTACAGCCCTTATAACTCAGTAGCGGTTGCCCAGGCCAGTACACAGGTTACGTGGCTACCCCTCATTGGTACTACATCAATGCCCAACGGCTTGACTTGTGAGCCTTATCTACGGAAAGTGTAGTCCTTTGCGTAGACGCAGCACAGTTGTAGCTCTCGGCTAACGAGCTTCTTTACACACTCAGGAGCGACGGATGTTCCACAGAGGGACCCACTCATGGTCCCACCAACAGTCTCACCTCACGCCTGCAGGATTTGCAGGCATTTCTTGGAGGTGCTTTATTTATTAAGTGCTCAGCACCCAGGATTAAAGGAACAGGTCAACACGGTGCTGCCATCCGACTAGCGAAAGTGTGTGACTAAACTCCCCATAGTGCCGATTCTGCTCCAGAGGAGGATATTCCTCTCCAGAACCCTCACGAATAGAACGAATAGTCAGCACGAACAAGCGTTAGCAACAGTTGCATTTCCTCGTCCATTTCTTATGTGACTGAAGCACAGTCGTGGGCAGGGATGAATCGAATCCCGGCGAGCGCATTGTGTTGTTCATGCTTAGGTGTCCGCGTTTAGCGCTGGAGTTACCAAGCTAGCACCGAGACCACATCGGCGACATCGACGTTGTGTATGGGTAGCGCTCATCGAACGGGATTTGCTTTTTTGGAAAATCTTAATACCTGTGATCTAATAACAACACATGATCTCTTTTGCAGGAGGTTTGGTTGATGCGTGGTTGAAATGCACCACATCGCCCGGCCGTGCAACTAACATCTTGCTTATGCCTGAAATGTCCGATTCCGGTGGTGGCCCCAGGAGTTAAGTGCACATTTGGATTGCTCAAAGCCTTTAGAATGATGGGAAGTTCCAAAACTATTATCTGCGCTTCGTCTAGCTCTACAAATCCCTGGGTGCTGTTTGAGCACCTGCAGCGGCAGATTTTCTTTCCGATCGCCTTCATCGCACAAGGCCGATTGTTCCGATAGGCAGTTTGGTGTTCTTGGTTCCTCGCGTACGTTCTTGCAGCCTTGTGCGCTGCTCTGCCAAACGCACTCCATACTGGAGATCGCGCCGGTTCGGATTACACGTGAGATTTTTAAGAGAATTGATCCTTCTACCAACGCGCGTTTTGGCACCTCGCGATAGTGCACTGCGCTTTTCTGTCAAATACCACTAATACTGTTTCCTTGTGCCGCTGCAGCAGCAGCTGCTTAACTTGACTATCAGCCTCAACGTTCAAAAGTTAAAGCCCTAACCTTCAGGAGAATTCGGCGCTTCCAAAAAACAAGCTAGTGGCAGGAACTTGGAAACCATGAAAGCAATGTAATATTCACGCTTCATTTTATTGCTAGCTTGGTGCTAAAAAAAACAGCGTTCGTGTTGAATTTGTAATATGCGCAATGACGCCATATTTACTCCTCAATGGATAGTCTAATTCACAGAACATCATTGGTATGTTGTGTGGTTCTTCTTTCCCTAGAGGGTTGCCTATATAACCTCGAAGTTGAGTCGATCTTTGCAACTTTGGAAACCTCTGGTTAGCTTTCTAAAAAGCTTTGCAGGTGAAGCTGTTTGGTCACGCGATAGTTGCCTTCGCCATCCTCAACACAAAATTTAACACAGCCGTCACGAAACCGTCTCTGAAAACAGCAAGCGCACAGCCAACCAAAGATCATCCACACGCTTTCACAAGCACTTTACTGTCAGCGAGTGCTACTTCAAGGCTGCAAATTTGCTTACCAACGAGGTGAAGACACTCGAGCGGGCAGGCAAAGGGGTTATCGCCAAAAGTTGGCTCTCCTGGTCCCCTGTAGTGTTTTGCCGAGGCTGCGAGGCCACTTCATCCAGTGATCGCAGGACGCGACTCCCATCGCTCAAAACAAGAGCAATGCCGTACAATGGGAAGTCTCGAAGAAGCAGTCCAAGTTTCCTCTCCTTAGTCCTTGCGTGTCCAGACTTTTGGGGACGGCGCCTTTCGAGGCCACACTTCCAGTCGCTGGTACTACTACCAGAGGCTGTGGTGCTGTCACTGAGGTCAATATTATTGCAAGAATTATCACCAACAATCAAACGCGGCACTAGGGAGTCAGCTTCCCACGGTACGACCCGCAAGAGGCGAAGATCGGACTCATTTGTTTCGTCAGCCATTTGAGGGGATAGACTGACTGGTAGTGGCTCTTTTCGTAGAAAATGTAGCACAGGAAAAGGCAAACGGATCTGATCTAACAGTACAAGGTTTCCCGATCCACTGGCGAGGCCGCAGCTGCCCTCACTCCATTGTAGCAAAACCAGAGAGTCATCCGCAGTAGAAAGCAGCAAGAGCCGCTGCATCCTTGCTTCGAGAGCCCGCGTTACTTCTCCAAAGGGCATCAATTGTAGAGCCTGTATGATCGGGTCAGTGCCACTGACTGAACTGAGGGCTGCTGGGGCTAAACGCGTGTATGTGCATCCAGTAAACCATTCTTCAGCCACTTCAAGGCTCATTCCACTTACGCGCTGCAGCACACATAGTGCAGCACAAAGCTTACAGTCACTGATAGTAGGCTGCACGTAGATGTTGCAAAGCAGCGGCTGTACAGATGCTGCAGTGAAGAGTCTTCCAAGCAACTCCTCACCGGAACAGAGGCCAAGTTCCACAGAAGACGAAGCGGTGGATCCCTGACTCCTGACTGTGCTTCAAGCTCCTGTGGTGGATGCTGCAGATACCTTAGGTTGGTAGAGAAGATGGCGAGCAAGGAGGGGCCTGTGACCGCCCACACGTTGCCCCAAAGAGGTTGCAAACGAATTGTAGAGAGCATGGTGCTACGACTGCGTGCCGTAGGCCGCTGATTTCGTGCAGCACGAAGCTCAGCGGCTGCGCTTTTGATTTTCCCAACATTAGTGTTAGACTCTAGGAGAGCTGTTTGGGAGAGCTGTTGAAGGTACGCAGAGTTGCGGCGAGCACAGACTGATAGATCATGGGACGCAAAAGACAGAGGAATCCAGCCAGCAGGTTCCCTCCTCAACAAGTCGACTAGAACGAGAGTGAGGTTGCCTATGCCGCTGCTGCTGCTGTTGTTGTTGTTGTTCTTGCTGCTGCTGCCTTGCACAAGGCACACGACGATGGCGTAATCTGCGGTTATGGGGCTTGCAAAGGAAACGCTGAGCGGCCGCACAGTTGGTGGTCGTGGGTGTCTTGTATGGCATAATTGATCCTGAGGGGTCTGAATAATTTCATCGAGCAGGTCCCTGGGCAGCCACGCTTCAGGGGGAAGTGTCGTGCGCGTCATCTGTGACAGCAGCGGAGATTCAGCCTCCTGCATGTGCCCGTCGAGCCTGGCTACCAGTAGGGAATCATGGTTACTGTTGTACTCAGGAACATTGCAGCAAGGCATGGTTGAGCACTTGGAAGCGCGCTTTTCGTCGGAGGCACTGCATTTCGCGGCGGCTCTAGCTAGAAGACGAGCTCGAGAGTCAAGGGCAGGTAATGATGTTGAGGGCTCGCCAGAGGCAGTGGACGTGGTAGGTGCTGAATCTCTCAGCAGGGCATTCGTCATGGTTATAGACTCACAGTTGCATCCTGATAATGCAAGCTGCACGAGGTTTGCGGCCGAATCGGCTGCAAGGAGTAGACCAGTATGGCAGGGGTGCTTGGCAATGCAAACCAGGCTTGACTGACTGGCCATAACAGTTGTACATGAGCAGTGCTCACTACGTTCTGGGTAGCTGGTATGAAGCTGTGCATCGAATTTTTGGTCCTGTTTTGCATGCTGCATTTCAACCAGAGGCTCTTGTGCCAAGGACTGTAAGGATTTGTTTGGCTTTTTCTCTTCCGAGACGCCGATGAAAGGCTGGAATTCCTCTTCTGAGAATAATTCCGAAGCGTCAACGCAATACAGATTGCTGCCTATGTGAGCTGCCACGCAGTGGCGCTGCGCGGACCCTTGCAGCCCACGATTCGTGAAATGAATGAGGCGGGTATTCCAGGGATGAGCGTGCGTTTGTGGGTGACTTTGGGCTGTGGGTGTTTCCTTCTGTGCATCATCGCTGCACACGTCGACTTCGGAGCCGTGCAACATTGATCCAGACGCGCTATTCTGTTTTGACTGCTGGTGGCTGACATGCAGCTGACTTTTTCGCTGAGTCTGCGGCTGCTAGTGCCTGCCGGTAGCTTCGCCATTCGAGCAGAATGGTGCGACATGAAACGCTCCAACGACCCTAGACCATGGCGAATGGAGAGCCGTCGCTTCACACGCTTCCGCAAGGGGATAAGGATATGCTTCTTGAGCAGCATCACTCGTAAGGCCGCAGTGGCAGCCGCTTCCTTGATCTCTCTCATCAAGAAGGCTCTTCGCTGGAGCCATAGTAACTTGGGATGCACATGGAGAATGATACGAACAGCCACACGCCACCGCAAACGTTGGATGGCCGTGATCAACCGGCATAAGTCTCCTGGGGTTTCGAAGAATTTTGCTGGGTCAGTCATTAGCGCTGCAGCCTCTCCATAGGCAGAGGCCTTGAAGCAGAGGAGGGAAACGCCGCAAATGAATGTGCCTGGTCGGCACTGCGGAAGCAATCCAAGAGTTGCAGAGGCTGCAGGAGTAAACGCATAAACGCCGAAGTTCGTAGATGCTACACTAGAAAGTAAGTAACAGCTGCCTGGTTTGCAGTTATCGCGAAGCCTTTCAAAAGCCTTAGAAAAATATAGCGGTGCTTTAGTTGAGTTGCATAACGTTCCTCTCTTCTTACCTAGCAAGCGGTCCCTGACAGTTGCTGGGTTCCAGTGTCTCAAAGTTTCGAGTACCCGGCACTGCTTCTTTTGTTCATCATGCAGAGATATGCAAGCTGAATCACTACCCAGCGCGGCCATCCTCTGCGGAAGGAGCGCTTCCACCTTGTTTTCTTGCTCGTGCAAAAGTCTCTCCAACAAAGGGAGTAGAGTTTTGCGTAGTCTGCAGGCGAGGGTGTGCAACGGCATTCTGTGGGGAAAGCCAGATTGCAGAATGCCCAAGAGAGCCAAAGATCCGGAATGTTGCAGCTGCACAGCAAGCAGGTAGCAGTGAGACGTCAATGATGGCAGTCGCAAGAGGATCTTCAACTACAACATTAGGACTACAGCAAAAGCAGGCCACAGGAGCAGCATCGTCGACATCTTTTGCCTATCTACGTTGATGAAATTGCTTTAAGGCTTGCACTGCCATCACCTAAACCAACAACTCGCATACTTGCTGCAGTACGATCTTCCTTTCAAAAGCATCAGGTTTCATCTCGCAATTCGGGATGAAACATCGTATGAAATGGAGCTGCATGTGGGGCCCCTGCAGCTCCTGGTTCAGATCCTTCACACTCTTCAAAAAACGCTTCGTTATGGAGGAGAATTGACCACCCCCTGCAGTGCCTACGAAATTTCCTTCCAGCCTCTGGCTCGCTTCGTGCTGTTCCATAGCACGCCGTAGAAGCGACTTTTCGGACTTGGCAACAAGACGCTCTAGTTCGTGCTCGATCTGAGTGGAAAAGAATCGAATCGAAATTGCAGTATTACCGTTAACAAGGCAGCACAGCGAAGATGTCGTGGGCAAAACGTCAGCCTGAAACACCTTACTCGGTCGTTGTTCAGATCCAGCCAGCCATCCGTGCCGTACAGAACTGTTCCTGCAAAGTGCTTGACGGCGAAAACTCTCTCCTGCACTTTACCAGCCGTTGAGAGGGTTCCTCCCAGTTTTCCTCCTGCACCCACAGATGCCAGCTGTTGAGCTCCCACAAGGCCAATAAGATTAAGGTCGGCTTGCTCCAAGTGTTGCAGAAGCCTCCCGCTGGCAGCAGCTTCTGCTGCTTGCATCCCGTTGGTTCCTTTCAGACAGAATAGAATGCGGTGGTCACGCGGCGTCAGTATTTCCTGGTCTGTCTTTTGGGAGTTGTGCTTGTCTGCGGGATGCTGCGAGTGCTCTTTCATTGAGGCACAGTAAGCGAACAAGTCCTTCCAGAAGTGAATGTCGTCTCTTGCCTGGCCCTGGGCCAAGAGTCGGCATGAGTCATCTAAGCGTCTAAATACTCCTTCTTGCAATTCTCTAAGCAGCGCAGAGGTGTCTGGCAGGCTTGAAAGGAGGGTGCGCTGGAGATTCGCCTTGAAGGAGATATTCGGATCGCTTCGATGACTGCGTTCTTGGAGTTTTGAATCTGATTGTTCACTTTGCAGAGGGGACTTGAACTTTTGTCCAGCTGCCACTGCAGGGTTTGCAATTCCTTCTCGGATGTACAGGGCAACTTCTTCCTCGATGACCTGCTGGACGAACAGCTGTTGCTGTTTCTCGTTTGCGTAGTTGATGCAAAGCTGTTCCAACCCATTTTCCAAACCAAATGACTCGAAGCCGTAGATGTCAAGGACTACATTGGACCACCCACAAAAGCAAACAGAAGCAGACACAATCGGCTTAATAAAGGCTTTGACGACAGCACATGCAACAATGTACGTAGGCCAATCGAACGACAAGCCGTGCATGTGGAAAGTTATTTGAGTGCAGCTAGGAACAAAAACCTCGTCCCACTACTTGTTGTCTAATCGAAAATGTATACATGGGTAAGCTTTTACGCGCAAAGGCTTTTTCTAGCATATCACTATCAAATAAAGTACGAATTGCAGAAGACGTTTACCATGCCTAGAGCACAGCAAAAGTTTCTTACTGCCAATGGATTTCAGGGCATTTGCATCATTCTGCTTGTTTTGGTGCTGCTTTCCTCGCACGTGTCGCGCAGCACTTTTATTCAAGCGGTGCACAACGTAGTCAAAAAGTCGACTGTAGATGAACTTGATGAGAGAGCAGCACACACTGGCACTTTGCTGCTCATTCCGTGGCTTTACAAGAATGTCGCTTTTCAAAGCTATATGGCGGAACCGCAGAACTTCTTCAAGCTCTTCCACTTTGAAACCAAGCAACGATGCTGCACGCTTGAGCGCATCTGCTGATGCTGCGTCCTGCAGCTGTAGATTTTCATCAGTGCCTTTGATGAAAGTAGCATTGGAGAGGTGAAGCAGTCCCGCTAGCAGATGTAGCAACTCTTCGGTCTCCGCAGAAGCGAATTCTGCCTGCTTCAAAGCCTTCATCAGCGATTCGAAGTTTTGCTGTCAATGCAGTCCAGCCAAGCAAAAATCACAACGCATGTACGAGAGACCGGCGATATGCTTCAAAAAACGCAAGTTGTAGATCTGATGCTTCTCTGGAGCTAAGAGGCAAAATGCGCAACTACTAGATTTGAAATTTTATAACACCCTATGAGACGAGTAAAGGCTTCTCTCTCACCTGGTCAACCGTCTTTGGTACTGCATTATCAGCCTCTGTTTCCTGTTCTTGACATGCCGTCTGTTTGGCCCTAGGATGCACATCTTTTAACAGCTTCCTGAAGTCCTGTGGCCGCAGCATGCGGTAGGCGCATTCATCGTCTATTAAATCCATTAAGGCGCGCTGCTCGTCGCTCACACCTGCAAGAGAAGCAAGCCGCAATGCATTGCATCCTCAACCCAGAATAAGCCCTTGCCGCCGATAATTTTGTATTGCATATAACTATGCTGAAATATCCCACTACCACCAAGCCAATGCATGCCACAATTACTGCGCCAATCCCGTCTGGACGTTTGCTAGGGGTAAGGCCACAGTAGCATGACGTGAGTTTTGCACCTCTCAATAGCTGGTAGAACACGTGAAAGTTTCGGTCGCCCTTCTTGTGCGCCGTAATCCGCGCAGCCTCCAACAAGTACGTCTTCAAACTACCACCTCTCAAGAGACCTCCATTGTCGAAATGCAGAAGTGTGAGTCGCCCAACTCGGCTACTGTTCTGGTTTCTTCTTGTGGCAGCGTTGCCGAAAGACTCAAAGATTGCGTTGCAAGAAACAATTCGATTTCGGAGCTCTGTTGCTTCGTTTTGCGTCTGAACGCCACTTAGAAGTGCAGCAACTTCAGTTCGTTGCTCAGCAACTGTTCTGGGTGCAGAGCAATGGCTGTTAATCCCGACTGCTTTGTCAGGGATAATCCCGCTTGGTTCCTGCGAGGAAGTGGAGACGTGGGTGAGAAAAAGCATAAGCTGCTTGCTTGTTTCGGTTTTTCCGGCTCCGCTTTGCCCCGAAACCACAATAGTTTGACTGGTTTGTGTCCCCACAAGACGACGCAGAGCGTCTTCTGCAACAACGAACGGATGCGGTGGCGGCCTGTTTCGGCTTGCAGTGCTGCGCTTGAAAGCTTGTTCTGCAGCGAGCGCTTTGGCCTGCATCCCGTATGCCTGTGTAGTATGTTCTGCAGACGTGAGGGAGTTTATTGTCCACGGATTGACATTTTTCCTGTCTGCAGGATCACTAGAGGAGCCCAAAACACCATCAGGACATTCGATGAGGGAGGGCCGGCGAATGGGTAGAACTCCAGGTAGACTGTCGAGAATGGAGCCAATGGCGCTGCTGGAGTCGGTGAGACGGCCTCTCTCCCTGCTGTTGTGCCACTGCTCTTCTGAAAAGTTGCGGCGATACGTTCGGGCAACCTCCCTCCAATTCCGGTAGAGAAGGATTTGCTGTGCAGTGTACAAGTGAGGCAGTGGCTTGTAGGGGTTGACGGCCAGCAGCACATTTGCTGCGTAGGTGTAAATCTCATCTCGGATATATCTATGTTGAAGAAGCTGAAGCAATGCGGCGGCTGACAATGTTCCGCAGCTGGCGCTATCATCTGGCATTGGGTGAGGCGGCAAGGGGGGTGCATTGTAGGGCCAAAGGTGGGTGAGAGGGACTTCGAATGGCGGCTTTGGAACAAAATTCGCAACAGTTTTCTTGGCTGCAGCTTCCGCCGCATCTAGTGCTTTCTGTTGTAGCTCTTTTGCAGAAAGAAGGGAACGTTCGCAGCCTGACAGTTCTTCAGGGGCGTCTGAAGAGCTCTCAGTATCTTCATCGGTCTCGCCTTCAGTTACAAAAGGCAAACGGCCAAAGCCACTAGTGTCGTTGCTAGACAAGGGATCAGCGAATGCTTCAGTTGCGGCTTCGGGGGGCTCCAACAACCAAGCGTTGTTTTTTTTCTTCAGGCGAAGCTTGCTGCTTTTCTCGACAGATTTCTCGTTTGCAGGTTGTTTTTCGGCCTGAGTTTGAGGCTGGCACTGCTTTGCTGTTGTCCTTGAGGTATATTCTCCTTCGCCTACATTTGCTCCTTGCGCCCAGGCTTGGCGAACCACATCGGCAGCCGCCTGCGCCGCCGCGACGCTGGCGTTTCCTTCTGGGTGGATCACCACCTGGGCTTTTCCCGTGTATATCTCATGACTTAGCACTTTAACTGTTACAAAACCCTCTTCTGTGCTGTGCGTCCAGGCGAGCGTGCCGTCGGGTGCATTTTGCGCGTCACTCTCTGGGCACATTTTGAATGCATTACTCTTGATCCCGGCCTGGAATTCTTCCGACGGGGTTCATACTTTAGACTCGACCAGAAAAGAGCAGATTCATGTTGATATGTGCATATTTCACGAGCCTGGTCTTCTGCAGGCCTTGAAATCCTCAACATACCGTGCAAGGGGCGTTGATCCGGTCTGCTAATTTATCTTCGGCTTTCAAGGGCGAAAACGGATCCGAACACTAGATATCTATACCAACAAACGCCATATGAGGCAGTTTCAGCTATTGGGGACTGGAAACTTTGTATGCTGCGCTTTCTGCGATTTCGCCTTCCCAACGGAACCACAGCCGAATTGGTCCTTTGACAAATCGAGCCGGCATACAAAGAGCACACGCCTGCCTTCTAAATTTCCTTCGAAACCAAAGATATTGGTAACTTTTGTATGTCTTGGGAAGCGACTGCGTTTTCTACTTCGCCAGAAACGTAAACGAGTGCTCTGAGCTGGGAGGAGCATAGCTGTCGGAGCTGTCCTTAGCGGCCTGCCGTCGAACACAGCGAAGGCCTCAAGAGATCCTATGAGGTACTAGCGAGGCTGCATTCACAAATCTGCAGCATGAGGATAAAGTAATGAGGAGCTGTGCTTATCCTTCGTAAAGGCAAGGCATTGGGGCCCACTAATGACCGTGAAGCCCCGATGCACGAGGCGATTCTCATGTCTGGCTCTACAGGTAAGCTACAACGGAAACTTATCAGTCTATGGATATGATGCAGCGCAGTTAATTTTATGTTTTGAAAAAGTACGTTGAAAAGCTCCCTAGTCGGGACTTTCGTGGAGAAGGACGACGGACCGCGTCCCTGGTTGCGGTCCCTCGGAGTTGCCCTTTAAAAGGTGCTGTGGCTGCTTTTCAGTTCGCTTATTGCGTTGAGTTCGTTTCATATGGCAACCACAATATGATCTCTATTTTCTGGGACTAGGTTTTATTTGTAATTAGATTGGTCATGTAGCGATTGCCCCCGGGTTTGAGCACATCATTGAAGCAGGGGCTTGGCTTCTTTACATGCTGCTTATCCGCTAAATTTCATGCCTCTTGAGGTATCTTTGGCCATCAGTGCTGAAATTCTTAAGGTTCTTTCTCAGTTTCAAGATGCCGTAAAAATGGCATTTGTTCAGCTGGTTGTTCCTGTTGATTAGAGTCGGCTCCATGGTTGTGTCTAAGGTGCTGTGGGAATCAGTTTGCGTGCTGAAATGGTTTTCACAGATGCACCCATGTAGCTTCCTTTAAGAACAAATTAGAAGTAAACAATTGTTTCTGACCTTCAGAAAGCATGTGCGAAGTGTCGAAGTCATTGAATTCAAGCGCAAGAGTCCCCCTGTTATACTGTGGCTTAACGCATACTACAACTAAAGTAGTTGGCTACTGTACGAGATCCACCTCAATATTGAGACTTAATTTTTCCAGTGTAACACTTTGTACGTTACGCACTGTAAAGCCCTTTACTTGGAATCTCTCAGTGCGTGTTTGTACGAGGTTATGAGCCCTAAACAGAATCATTGTGGAACCTTTTTTATCTTCATCTTCAGTACTTCAAGGCGACGCCATTCCCCTCCAGAGCTCCTATCTGTCGTCGAGACTTTTCTAGCTTTTATTCTGTGTACATACTTTAGCGACAGCCGCCTCCGGCTGCTGTAATACTAATTCCACAATATTCGGTTTTAGGAAGTTTCCCCTAACAGTAGTTCCTATTCATTTCTTAATTGCCTTGCGCTGCTCTTAGGTGAGCTCCAGCTCTCAAATTATCTTCCCCAGCGGCGAACTGCGCCTTCGGTTCCATGCAGAGCGCTTTTATTGCGAGCCAATTTTTCTAGTGCATGAGCTTGCTGGGCCTTTTCTTCTGACTTCAAAGCTATGTATCAATTTCTGTCTTATTTCAACTCATATTTAATTTAGAGGAGCTTGTTGTGTGCCTATCGTAGCTTAGCTTGCAGTTCAGCTGCCGTTTGTTTCCCCCTATTCAGCGTACTTCTGGCCACTTTTGCTTGGCGTATCTGCTATTCTGAAAACATTACAGCTCCAGTTGCTTTCTACAAGTAGAGTTCTAGGCTGGCGGTTAACTTTGCAGGAATAATTTCCATGGCCTCTGCAGTGTCGGCAACTGCCTTCGGACCGTCATCTGCAATGCATGTCTGTAGACTTGTGCAAAAAGTACTAAGAACTACTTTGCTTACCAATGCTTGGAAACTCTAAAGGAATGGTGCTGCATGCGCTTACCAAAGCTGATGCCTCCAGCGGACCACCTCTGTGACACTGCTTTCTAGAACTCAAGTGTCGCCCATTGGTACTACTAGCTTAGAAATATTCGCGCGATTTAAGGGAATTTTCCGAGAAAAAAATATATTTACATTGTGGCAACAGCTTCTTCTTCCCTCCCTTCCGCATTTCATCCCAACTGACACGCCAAGTTACGTCGCACAAGACTGGGGCTTGTTTGACTGTTTTATTCCACGTTTCACCACTCTTCTGGCATCATTTATCACTCATGAAATGCGATACGTTTACGTGCAGTCTGCCATTTATAAGAGGGTGTTGCTTGGGAGGTTATTGGATTATGTACTGAGCTAGAGTTACGCAGTGCTAAGTGCCATTCACGCGGAAATTTCAATTTAGAACTCAAGGATATAGCAAGCGCAGTTATTTGCCTCTCCCAAAGCTTGTTTTTGATGAAAGCACGTGGTTACCGTCACTGCTTGCGCACACACTGTCTGCTAGTAGCTGAGATTTGTACCATTCGTCGAAGATTTTGGCAATTTTGGAAGAATAATGATCCAACTTTTCAGAGATTTTTTGTGCTTCGTGATTCTCCCACAATTTTACTTGGCAAGGGTGCGTTGTGGCCGTCCATAGTGCAAGAGGCTTCAAATTTTTAAGTGCCTAAATCCCAAAGTCACATACCCCAGGTCGTAAACTGCCGCGTTAAGGGAATTTTTGCCTGAAATTAGAGTAAACTTCCATCTTGTCCGAATATGTGGTTTCTTCCCTACTCACCTGAATCTGAGGAGTAACCAAAGTTTGGATCAGTTCGATGTAAGACCCGCCGTAGTGCTAGTGTCCAAATCCCGTGCCCACGATTGGGAGTTTTCAGGTCCCTCGTTTCACTCGCTTACTCTGTAGCTTAATACAAGTAACCTTTTCAGGCCAAACGTTTAATTTCCTTAAAGTATCGAGCTGGCCTTCTAAAATCGAGGCTCAAAACCTTTGGAGTAATCAGTTGAGCCCTCGCCTTTACGGTTTCCCTCAAAAGTTTGAAACCTAATTCTGCTCCTTCACAAGTTCTAGCAGGCAAAGAAATGTATACTGCATGCTTCGAAGAGGGTTTAGAAGCGCGACTGGATGATTTTGCTAGGTCCATGCATTATCAAAACTTTGCTCTTGCCATGAGCCTTGACAACCAACATTTGGACATCTCTCTCAAAAGCGGTGACAGTTGATAGTATTGTGGCAGACCTTTGCCATTTACCCAGTTTTCTGTGTGCGCGGTTTCATTGTCGTCACATTTGTAGGAAAAAACGCTGAGCTGCTTCGAATTTTGCCGCTGCTGTGCAGCCAGCTTATCTTGTTTTGGATGGCTGTTGTTATGGGCTTTTGCAGAAAGTGGAAAGTAATTTGGTACGACACACAAGACGAGGGGCCATCCTGTGTCGGTCAAATGATACTATTTCTATATAGACTTGAAACCACTTGAGGTTCCCTTCTGAACTTGGGGAAATTATTCAGCAGTGCAACGGGAAATTGCTCTTCACTGCGACATCTGCGCAAGCTACTGCCTTGAACTTTAGTGCCTCCTTTTTATATCCCTTCATTTTCTTTGACTGATTGCGATACGCTGCTTCGTAAATGGCTGCAAGCGCTTTGCTATATTATTGTGCTTCCTTTGCAAAAGCAAAGTTTAACATATATAGTTTTCAACACAGGCTAATCGAACGAACTGCATTCCATAGGAGCTCATGAAGAAGAGGTGAGCTGCCGAGGCTGCACAAGCTGGCTAGAGAAGCAGAGGCTTTTTATTCTAAGTCCTTTCTTTCCTTGCCGAAGTACACCGAATAGTCTTTATGAGTTCCCTTCTGAAATTCTGAGGCGACACCGCGTTGCTTGAACATAGTGGTTCCACACATTTTCACATGTGGACTTGTTGCACCCTGAATCCACATGTGGACTTGTTGCACCCTGAATCCCACTATCGAGTTTTACCCACTAACTTCGCATTTTAAAAGCTTACGACAAAGCCCACCAGCATGTGAGCTATTACAGCGAAAGTCGCCAAAGGCCTAGGAAGCCTTGTCGCAGGGCCTGAATGTTGGATGGGGGGAGTTGTGAGAGAATACTTTTTGCTTGATTTACTGAGATGCATCATTCTGAACCGCATGTTGTCATGTAACCAGCAACAAACCTCCGGCAGTAATAGATGAAGTGTGCTGCAGCCAGTGTTTGCTGCAACCACAAGCAGTTGCGGTTGGATGCCACATCTGAATTTCACAATTCTCTCCAACAGCAATGAATGCTTTGCAAGCCCTGAGTGGCACACTGGGGAAGCACTCACACCCGAACTTTTGAGTTGCGTTTAAGAACAATTCGAACCTTGTGCTTTTCCGGATTTATTCCCCAGCTTTCCAAGTTCGACAGAGCTGTGTGCTGAGGCAGATCAAGCTGTGCAACGGCAGCTTGAGTTCAAAGAACTTTTGATCCTAAAAACGTTTACTATTCTGATTTGAATTAATGTGCCACCACGGCTTTCACTAGCCACCAAGCTTTGCCCTTCTAGCATGAATTTATTGAAATCGAAATCCCTCAGGTGCAGATTTCGCTGTTGCAAAGGTCTTTTCGAATTCAAACGGCACCAAGTCGCAGAGCTATTTAAAATGCTGGAAACACATTTAAGCAAAGGGGAGGAACTGTAGCTACTCTATTCTACAGGCTTTCTTTGAAACAGTATCTTGTGAACAAATCTGGTGGAGTCTTTCCTGCAGCTTCGGACACCGGAGATCACACTATCGTTTTTGTTCCTAAGTAGCAGGCATTTAAAAAACTTATATAATTGCGTTTTAGGTACAAATTGTACTCTAATTATCAGGCTTACGCGGAAACATCTGCCAATCGAGCACGCCGCAGGCAGCAGATGCATTTAGAGGAGTGGCTAAGCCTTGTGCTGCATAATTTAGTAATGCCTAGCATTTAATTTTTTCAGTTTTCGTCATTTTGGAAAGATAGAGCTTCGATTTTATTCCTTCAGCTCCCCCCTCTCAAGAACTACCCAACCTGTGCAGAACCCCGGGTTGGTGCAAACCCTCAGAGGGTCGTGGAGTTGCGTTGGCCGTGCTGCCTTTCAGATATTACAAGTTTAAGAAAATAAAATGAAAAGGTGTAGGCTTTTGCACTGGGAGCGGCTTGGAGTCGAAGTGCTGCAGCCAACAGAGCCTCCGAGGTGGAACTCTGCAGAAGCTGCATCTGACAGAAACTGCCGCTTTCTTAGATGCTGCAGCAGCTCTTCTGAAATGCATTACTGCGGTAATGAACACGAAGGCGGTGGGGGTGCAGGGGAAGCTATTTTGTGCTTCTTTCCGCCTGTGACTAGCCGCAGCTAGCCACTGCAGGGCTGAACAGCAGCTAGAACTCCTCTACAATGCCTTAGTTTTGCCGTTCGAATTGAATTTTAGTTTATTTCTGCATTTTTAATGGAGTAGTTCAGGCCCGAGCTGCAGCGGGGAAAGATGGGCATCTAGCGGCGGGGTCCAGTGGCTCGTGGCAGCGGGGTGGGGGGTTTGTCGCTTGCCCGCAATTCAAGTAGAAGGAGTGTTTTTTTGGATTTAAAATATAGAAAAAGTTGAATAGTTGAATAATATTGGAAAGAATTAGAGGTTTTTTACTTCGCGGGACAGAAAGAATGCAGAAGAGGCTACAACGTCTGGAAGTGCTGTGGAAACAAAGCACACCGAATCAGTCGGAGCCTGGCAGCTGTTCCTGGCGGGGAAAAGCAAGCTACTCGACCCACAGTACAAACTCCTTCATTTTATCATCTTCCTTTCTTTTATCTTTTCGATTAGCGTTTTTAGGTATATTCTGCAGCTTGAAATTTCAGCGACAGGACGGGACCACAGTGTGCACTGTCACCGGATTCTGTGTGTTGAGCGATTCGCGCATACAAGTATGTCGTCGGCACGGGAGATCTCAAAAGAACCCTTTCTCTTTTTTCCAATTTGCATTTTTATAGAATTGTTGTGTTCTTTTGTGGGGTCTTGACGGGAGTTCGTGGCTTCTGAGGCGCCCAGTGGGTGGCCGGAGCGCCTTCGCCCTGCAGCGCGCGGCGAGGTGGCTGTACACCTCAAACCGCGGCTGCAGGTTGTTTATCGAGTTGGTTCAAGTCACTTTTAACAAATGAGGACAGAAGAGCAGCAGCAGAGCCCCGGCGCTGCTGCTGCAGCTCCGCAAGCCCAGCTTTCTGTCTGTGCTGCTGCGCCGCAGCCCCCCAGCAAAGCTCTCGCGGCGCCGCCGCGCCAGACACAATGGAGGCCGTCAACAAACTCTGTTCCTGCAGGTTCGAGCCCCTCGTGGAGGTCCCGGTGCCGGAGAAGGCGGTGGTCTGGACTTCCAAGAACTACTATGATGGCTCAGGTGCCGCACTGCTGCTGCTGCTGCTGCTGCTGCTGGGCGCAGCAGCAGGATTTAAGCTGCTGCTGCTGCAGCGCGCAGCAAAGGGCTTCAATCTGCTGCTGCTGCAGCGCGCAGCAAGGGGCTCAAGGCTGCTGCTGCTGCTGCTGCTGCGCGCAGCAAAAGGCTTTATTTTAGTGAATGGGCAGCTGGAGGGGCGGGGGAAAGGGCGGCATGGGGGTAGGGGGCTTGGGGTGTACGTACACCTGGGAGTTGTTTGTTTGGGGCGTGGTGGCGGTCATGGGGGGAGTTTCTGGGCTCATTTGAACTGGGATTTTCGTTTTAAGGACTCTGTGTGCAATTATAATTGTATGTTTGTGTTTTAAAATGCGTATTTTGGATTTATTTCAGGCTGGGTGGGGCTGGCGGACGGGGAAAAGCTGAGCCTGAAGCCCACGCTCTTCGCGGACAACAGGCTGCTGTTTCTGGAGCCCGTGGAGGGCGTGTGCGAGGCTTTCAGCAGCGTGCAGTCTGGGAAGTACGACGTGAAGGTGCGCAGCACTTGGCATTTTTAATTTCGAAAGAATTCGAAGAGTTGAACGAATTCCAGTAGTCCAAGCAGTTCAAATAGTTGAAAGCGTGCAAGCAGCGGCGGCTCGCCCGCGGTGGCCTGCTGCGCGGCGCGCGGCTCTGCGCTGCAGCTCCCGCTGCAACTCCGTTTCCGTGCGCTGCTGCCGCTGCTGCCGCTGCTGCCGCTGCTGCCGCTGCTGCCGCTGCTGCCGCTGCTGCTGGTGCTGGTGCTGCTGCAGTGTTGGAGCAAGCTGGGTTGCCACCTGGGGATCGAAGGCGACCAGAACGTGTTCCTGTCGACTCCGAAGCTGAAGGAAGTCGCGGTGTACTCGCACCCGGAGCGGCTGCCGGCGTTCCCGAAGTCGTGGAAGCCGCTGCTGTTCACCCTGAACTCCTCCGTCATAACTTTCCGGCTGACCGACACGCTGTGTCTGGTGGTGACGATCGACGAAAGCAAAACCACCAAAGTGCACTGCGTGGACTACAACGGCGGCTTCGCGCTGTCGCACCCCGCGAGCGACTCCGCGCTGGCCTACGGGTCGCTGGCGGTGAAGGGCTTCGAGGCTTTGCCGCACTGCGAAGTCATCCCCAGGGTCACTTCTGCTGCGGGGGAGTGGGGCTTCTTCGTGCAGCTGTTTCAGTGGGGCTCGTTCGTGGTGCCGAAGGCCGTGGACCTGACGCGGCCCTCGAGCATCCTGGGAATGGGACTTGGGAAAAAAGTGGACTGCCTGGGCGTGCTGCTGCTGCCGCCGAACCTGGTGGTGATGGTGCACCTGGAAACGCCCAAGGTGCAGCGCAGCCTGCAGCACGGCAAAGACTACTTGCTGACTGCGGTGAAGACCAGCGAAACGGACTTGGACATTTTCCTCGTCATGGACGGCCAGCTCTCCGTCTTCAACTACTCCTTCGACCTGCGCCTCAACCGCCCCAACAAGCCGCGCCACCTCGACAACGCGGCCTTCAAGGGTTCTCTCGAGCTCGACGACAAGAAGAAGTGCAGCCGCTTCATTTTCCAAAACACCAAAAACTCCAAAGTCCTCGTGCCCCAGGGCTGTCCGCTTTCCGAGGGCGACCACCTCGTCAGCAGCTCCCTCATCGCCGTCTTCGACGCCGAAATCTGTCCGCGCTTTTCTTCTTTCCCTGCTTTTCCTTTCCGCGCTTTTCTTCATTCCCTGATTTTCCTTTCCGCGCTTTTCTTCATTCCCTGCTTTTCCTTTCCGCGCTTTTCTCCATTCCCTGCTTTTCCTTTCCGCGCTTCTCTTCGCTTTTTTCCCTTTCTTTCGCTTCTTTCTGCTCCTTTGCTTCTGCCTTTGCTGCTGCGCATCACCGGAACAGAAATCCGTTTTCCGGACTCTCGCGCCGTCTCTGTGCTCTTTTTGTTGTTGTACTCAGCGTCAGTTGAAGTGTTCGGTCTTCTTCTTTCGAATTTTTGTCTTCTTGCTTTCATTTCTTTGTTTCCTTTTGCCTCCCATTTTGCTGCTCTTGCTGCTTCTTTTCCCGATTTTTCATCTTACTTATTCTTCTTCCGACGCATTTTGCTGCTGCTGTGCATGTTCCGCTGCGCATCTGCTGCTGTGCATATTCTGCTGCTCATCTGCTGCTGTGCACATTTTCCTGCTGCATTTGCTGCTGTGCGTATTCTGCTGCTGCGTTCGCTGCTGCTTTTGCTGCTGTGCATATTCTGCTGCTCATCTGCTGCTGCATTTGCTGCACTTAATAAACCGCAGTCTCAAGGGGTTGGAATTCTGCTGCTGTTACATGTTGCTGTCATTTATTATAGTTGTAATTTCAGTTGTAATTATAATTATTTATAGTAATTATTATTATTACTAATTATTGCTAATTGTTGTTAATTATTATTTGTTGGTGTTTGTAACGATTCAAATTGCATGGTTCGCGCGGTGCGGGCGGTGTTTTGCTGCTGCGTCGTCGCTTGCTGCTGAAATCCTCTGCTGCTGCTGCTGCTGCTGCTGCTGAACTCATCTACTGCTTCTTTGCTGCTGCTGCTGCAGGCATGTACCTGACGCACCCCCCCGCGTTGAAGTTGTGTTCTGCTTTCAACACGGTGGCGCTGCCAGTGGACTAGAGGCCTGTGAGAGCAGCAGCAGCAGCAGCAGCAGCAGCTCGCGGAGAAGTTCGAAAAGTTATTTCTGAAATCTGTATTACACAGCGCACACCCAAAAGGCAGCGACAAGGACCAGAGGAAGAAAGTTGGCAAGCAGTCGCGCGCTGGGGAGCGCATCCTGCTGCTGCTGCAGCCACTGCTGCAGCTGCTGCAGCAGCAGCAGCAGCACCAGCAGCGACAGCAGCAGCAGCAGTGTCAGGCCCTCTGCAGCCCGTCTCCCCCACCGACAAGCCCCGCGGCGGCAGTTTTGCTGCAGCAGCAGGAGGCGCCGCGCAGCGGAGGCGCTGGGCCCCGGGGGCCCCCGCATGCGGCTTTGCTGCTGCGCTGCAGCTGCTGTGGGGCCCCCGCAGTGGTCCACTGGTCACCTATTTGCGTAGTCTAACGAGACGGGGGGACCGGCAGCAGCGCGCACAGGGAGCAGCAGCAAACAGACAGAAGGGCCGTTTGCCTCCCCGCAGTCGTTGGCTGCCGCTGCTGCTGCGCTGCTGCTGCAGCAGCTGCAGCAGCTGGAGCTGCTGCAGCGGCAGCTGCTGCTGCGTCTCCCGAGCGCCTGACGAGACTGCTTGGCATTTTCCTCGTGGCTGCGGCGCCGCTGAACTTGAGAGTTTCATTGGAAGCAATTAAAAGCATTAAAAGGAAATAGTTGTTTCGAAACGCACTTAGAAACTTGAAAAGCCCGCTCTTTCCGTTCGCGGGGTGCGCGGTGTACGTACACCTGGCGGGGTGTATGCGCAGCTGCGCAGCTGCGGGGCTCGCGAGAAAGCCGAGGTTGGAAGGACATTTGAATTCAAATTAGTTTTGAATTTCGGGAGTTTCATTTCCCCGAAAAAGAAGAAAAAGTGGCGGAGTTTTGCCGGAGTTTTTCTTTTCGCCTGCGCTTTGCAGGCCGGGCTCGCGGCCTTGGAAAGTGACAAGTAAAAGAATAAAATGAAACAAAAGAATAAAATGAAACCACAATTGAAAACGTTGGAAACTTTGGAAAATTTGGAACTTCTCTCTCTCCTCACCATTTAAAAGCAACAAAATGGGAATTCCGACGCAGTGAAATCGTTCAAGAGTCATTTGCTGCGCCTTTTTAATGAAATCAAATAAAACGGCAAAGTCTTCGCCAACTCTGGAAACAATTCCATTTGAAACTTTCAATAAAATCAACTCCCCAATCCGGGACCGACGAACCCGCAGCCAGAGCTGCTGCTGCTGCTGCTGCAGCAGCAGCAGCAAGGTCCACACGCCCAGACCGCCCGTGACCACTGGTCACGCACCATTGGTCACCTCGCTGCAGCGGCTCCCCAGAGCCCCAGAAGGTCCATATTGCGCAGCTAAGACTGCTGCGAGCTCTGCTGCTGCGTATGCTGCAGCAGCAGCAGCAGCAGCAGCAAGGTTGGCTGGAGGGCACTTTTGGCCCCTTCAGTTGCCACTAGAGAGACACGAGCAAGGGCACAAGTCCTCTTCCCTCTCGCTTTGCGTGTCTGTCTCCTTAGGTGCTGCTTTGGGCTGCTGCTGCTGCCTGCTGCTGCTGCTGCTGCCTGCTGCAGCAGCAGCAGCCTGCTGCAGGCCGCGGGCGAGCTGCAGCACGTCCTCCACGAGCTGCTGCTGCTGCTGCGCCTCCAACTCCGCAGGAGCTGCCAAAGTCTTCACACATTGGGTGAAGCAAGAAATGAGGATCTGCAGCGCGGGGAGCGAAACAGCTGGAGAAGCAGCAGCAGCAAGGCAGCAGCAAATTGCTTCTTCTCTCTCAGCAACTGCTGCTTCGCTGTACGCCAGCGAAGACACGCAGCCCAGCAGACTCGACAGCAGCAGCTGCAGGCACCGCCGGTAGTACGGCAGCAGCAGGCTCTCCACAGACAGCTCCTGCTGCTGCTGCTGCTGCTGCTGCTGCTGCTCTGGGGCGACTGGCGGCCCCGCCAATGTGGCCTTAGCAGCAGCAGCAGCAGCCGCCGTAGAGCCGCACGCAGGCGAAAGGGGCCCCCAAGGCAGCCCTTCTTCGGGCCCCTGCTGCTGCTGCTGCTGCTGCTGCTGCTGTTGCTGCTGCTGCTGTTGCTGCTGCTGCTGCTGCTGTTGCTGCTGCTGCTGCTGCTGTTGCTGCTGCTGCTGCTGCTGCTGCTGTTGCTGCTGCTGCTGCTGCTGCTCACAGTTGCCCGAGGAGAGCGGGCAGCTTTTAACTGAGAGGGGCCCCTCCCCAGAACTGGGGGGCCCCCCAAGGGGCCCCCAAGGAGATCTAGGGGCGCACTGGAGCTGTTTCTTCTCTGGGGGGGCGACTGCACACAAACCCTAAACCCTAAACCCTAAACCGTCCTAAACCCTAAACCCTAAGCCCTTCTAAACCCTAAACGCTAAACCCTCGGCGGTTGGTTTCTCACGTTTTCTTCTCTTGGGGCTTCTGCAGGGAGCTTTGGCCCTGGTGTAAGTCTCCTGCTGCAGCTGGAGTCTGCCGAAGCCCTTTTCTTCTGCTGCAGCAGCAGCAGCAGCAGCTGCTGCTGCTGCTGCTACGCGTCGGTCGCTGCTGCTGTCCGCAGCAGCACTTTCTGGGGTGCTGTTAAGAATGACAACTTTGGCGCCGAAGGCGCTCACAGCGTCGCCCCCTGGGGCCCCCCAGGGGGGCCCCCCGACTTCATCACTCGCTCATACAGCCGTTCCTA